TCCTGCTCCCCTGTGTGTCCTGTGATAATCTTGTTTTCACTGTCTCTAACACTGTTTTAAACTCCAGCAGACTCGTGTATTCCTCAGGCAGTCCTTATCTCTTCCCCACACCTTTAACCATGTAACGGACTCCTCTCTGCTTTTGTCTATCTTCCTCCTTTCCAGCTGTCTGAGTGCACTGCTGTCTCCATTCTGTACAGGCCTCCAACGGAGAGGCTACTTCCTGCCCTGGAGCTGCAATTCTGTGTGATGTCTTATCTCCTCGGCTCACTAATCTTTCCTAATGATATACCTCTGTCAAACTGGACCCTCTAAGGGACATGCTTTCCTTTTACTAGCAGACAGGGGAAACTATTGCAAAGTGGAGATTTGGAAAATATATCCTGCCCAACTTTCTGCTCTCATCTCTGTCAATGGAATGACTTGATTACAGGTTGTATTAATAGAAATAAGGTGTTTAGAACAAAGGAGGTGATAGGTCCTCTTTTCTGTGCTGAGCCAACTATGCATGGAGTAAGTGTCAAGCTATAGGGAGGCAGAAAGCCAAATGGCAGAAAATATGGATTTTGGAGGCTGGCAAACCTGTATTTAAATCTTGACTCAGCCATGAGCAAGTGGCTGAACCTCTAAATGAGGCTTACAATCACACCTATCATCTAGCTTTGTCTCAAGGATTCAGTAAGGTAATTTCTGTCACACAAAGCTAAGCAGGGCACCTATCACACACTTACTAGGCTGGATTGTACCAGTCTTCTTCTCTTGCCAGCTCTTGTGTGTCCAGATTATCCTGAGCCTAGAGGTTTCTGGAAGACTGCCATAGAGGGGTCACAGCAGATGTGCTGAAGGGTGAGAGATGGAGTACACAGAAATCTGGGGCATTGGTGGGAGGCACCCACCACCCTCATCCTGGGTCCCAGTGAGCAGGGCTGTGTGAGTTCACTAGCCTGCCTCGCAGCAGGCCAGGACTGCACACCTTGTCCCAGTCATCCTGCCGACATCTCAATTTAGAGACAACTGTGGCTCAGAAAAATGAGGCCATCTTGCTCAGAGTCACAGAGCCAGAGAGTGGCTGAGACTAGTTTGGTTTTAACCCCAGAGCTCAGCCCCTGCTGTAAATGTCGAAAGCCAAATAGGCCACTGGCCATTTGGAGGACCCTGATCCCCAAAGAAAAGTTCTCGCATGGCCATTGCATGTTACTCTGTGTTAATACTCTGGGGAAGGAACCAATGCCTTTCTCTGTAGACCCCTCCTGAGTGGGGGGAGTCTGACTTGTCAGCTGGGACAGGCTGCACACACCCCTGTGGTGGGGTCATGGAACTGGTCCTCATCTGTTGCCTCTCTCCTGTGAATTCCAATGAATGAATTTTTAGGCCAATGAATTCCAGGCCAATGAATTCCTCTTTATGGAGGCAGAAAAGTAATGAGGGACATATCATTGAAAGCCTTGAGTGTCATTGTATGGTCTTAGGCTTTCTCTCTGAGCAATATAGGAAACCACTTGAACTAAGGGCATGTATTTTAGCGAGATCATGTTGCCTGCAGTTCAGGGGCCAGGGGTAGAAGCAAGCCATTTGCTAACCCAGACATGGCAGCTTGAACAAATATGGTGGTTCGGATGCAGAAGTGATCAGATTCTGTCCATCTGCCCATCGGTTCTGTGCTGCAGTGCCTGATTTGCCTGTCAGAGGGAAGGGGCAACAGTCTAATCACCCAGAGGGGTCCCAGTGCGACAGCTCCCAGGCTCCCCCTAGAGGGAGGAGCTTTGGGAAGGAGGTTTCCTGACAGAACTTGCTCATAGAGCCAAAAGCTTTGGAGTTCACATCATTCCCGGATTCTGTCCTTCCACTGAGAACTGTCAGCGAAAATCCAGACAGAGGCAGCTCTCGAACTTTTTCTGGCCCTGGAACCCCGGCATTCCATTGGAAATGTGCCTGCTGGAAATGGGTGATTTGTGCAAAAGAAGTTTCTGGCAGGGTGATTAAAAGAGAGGAAAGGAAATTGCCCCAAATGCAGAGTAGCCCGAAAACTGCCCTCAGTTTTCTTCTCTGCCCTTTGAGCAAGATTCGCCAATCTGCGAGTGCCCTCTGCCCCCACCCAGCATGCTCTCAACTGCCCTCGCCATTAGTCGTGCCCACGAGGCAAGAGGGGTGACAGAATGATCATCCCCATTTCTTGTAAGAAGAAATTGAGGCCCAGAGAGGCCAAGGAACTGACTCAGGGTCACACGGCTTGTTGGAATCTAAGGGCCTAGACCCCAGCCTCCTGACCTTCAGTCTAGTGCTCCTTTTGCCACCCTTGATGAACAAAAGTACAATAAAAAGGATGGGCTCTTGAGATCTGCGAGGTTACAGGAAAGAATGCAGAGTAAGCAAGTTAGACCACAGGAAGGGAGACAGGGCAGGAGCCTACGTGTAAGCTCTGCATGTAAAATTCCTAAATGGATGGGCATGGTTGGCCCTCACCCCACTGAAGGGCCCCCTTTCTGCCTGGCTCTTCTGTGAAAACCACTTTAAGAAGAAGAAAACCATAATTACTCCCTTGGGATGGTGGAACGCTTAGGGGACCCATCAGAGTGCCTAGTGTGGGCTCGTGCAGCCAGAAAAAGCATATTCAATGTCATAATTTCATAGTTGGGAAACTAGAATTAAGTGCCTGTTGTTTTTGTAATTCAGACCACAGCGAGTGAAGCTAAATGATATAACCTCCATGGCTGGGAGAGCGCCGTGAAAGCCCAGTGAATTCTTAAGCCAGGCAAACTTCTCCCACTTGCCTGGGTGGTGGGGGTAGCTGAGATCCCAGGGTCTGAGAATGGGGGAGGGTTGGGAGTTTAAATAGGTTGAGAAACTCTGGATAAAATGCCCTTTAGGGCTCCCCGAAGTCTACCAGCTGTGTAAAATTCTTTTGATGATTATCGATTGTTGGGAATTTCCAGTGTGATGTGAAGTGAGAATTTGATTCTCATTTTAAGACATACTGCCCTCCATCCCCCTCACTCCCCGCCTCCCCCCGCCCCCCACACACACACCCAGGGCTGGAGATAGTAACCTTTAGATTGCATTGTTTACCTCAGGCTGCAGAATTGCAACAATGGCCTCTGGCCATAGTCAAGGTCCCTTCCTCCTGCCCCAGCACTCAGAGATCTAGCTAGGACCTGACACCAGGCTGATCTGGGGAACTCCTACTGCAGACTAGCCTTCCCTCCAAGTGGATCTTCTAGAACTCTGGTGCCTCCCCTACTCCTAGGTAATCCCATCAACATGGTCTGGTTTCCAATGCCCCCTCCTCAGCTCTCAGCTCCCTCTTCCTCTTCTCTGATGCCAAGTTCCTTGGAAGGGCCCACACTCCTGCCTTCTCTCCCTCACCTTCCATTCTTTCCAAGCCTCCCCATCACTTCCTAGCAAAGCTGGGGCAGAAACCCAGTGAGCCTCATTGAGTAAGGCTTGACCTCCCAGCTGCTCCCTGACACTGCAACCACTACCCTCTGTTTCTGAAAAGTCTCTTTGCTCTTGGCTTCCATTCACCTTGCCTGTTCATTTCTTCATTATTAGGGCTTAGCACAACTGTGAGTAAATCACTTTGCCTAAATGTCTTGCCTTGGACTGTGAACTCCGTGAGGCCGGGGGCCCAGTCTTCCTCACACATGCCTGATGCAGTACCTGGCACCTAGTAGATCTTGGTAAAGAGCTGAGTGGATGCATTTATCCTTTCCTTCCTTGGTCCTCCCAACCAGGCTGACTGTCCATGCGCCGAGCCCTGAGGGCAGGCAGTAAATACTTGGAGCGGCTGCTTGAGACAAATGTCTGGGCCATGGCCTGTTCTGTGGTCCTAATTCTAGGGTTCCCTTCGTCTAGATCCTTTCACCCCAGCCTCTTGGCCTCCTCCCACGCCTCAGTACTCCTTAGGCTCTGCTGTCTCCATCTTGGCTGAGAGAGCTCTACCCCTAGTCTTTTCTCTGCTTCCCCTGGATAGGGACTGGATGTAAAAATGAAGAACCAGAAGCGCCTAGGGGGCTCAATCAGTTAAGTGTCTCACTCTTGATTTCAGCTCAGATCATGATCTCAGGGTCGTGAGATCAAGCCCCATGTTGGGCTCTGTGCTCAGCACAGAGTCTGCTTGAGATTCTCTCTCCCTCTCCCTCTGCCCCTCCTGCTTGTGCTCTCTCTCATTTATAAATACATAAGTAAATCTTTAAAAAAAAAGAAGAATCATTCAATGGGTTTCATGGCAAACTGGACAAACAGAAGGATGAATGAATCTGAAAACAAAGTGAAAATAAAAAACAAGGGCATCTGAGATCTATGGGACAGTATCCAATAATGCAACATACATACAAGGTGGGGAGGGTCCCATCAACCTGGTCTGATTTACTAGGATTTCCCATCCCCCTGCCCTAGAGCTATGTGACTTGTATTTTCTCCTTTCTTTGTTAAGAACAGTCGTGACAAAGATGCAGATGTGGGGTAAAGAAAGGAATAGCATGTGGTGTAGGGGCTAAGGGCGTGGGCTTTAGGAGATGAGCCTGGGACTGAATCCCTCCTTGGCCATATGCTAAGTGTGTGACCTTAGGTCGCCTATCCTCTCTGACCTTGGTTTTCTCATCTGTTCCTACCTGGTGAGAATTAGACAAGGTAAATGCAAGGTAAGAGCCCACCAGAAACCCTGACCATGGTAAGTACTTAGCAAGTGCTTTTACTCTCATTACAAATATGATCTTACTGTCATTTTCGTTTATGCACAGTCCTTTTCAGACTTGGTCTGTATGCAAATTAAAAAAAATATTTTCACAGGGGTGCCTAGGTGGCTCAGTCTGTTAAGTGTCTGCCTTTGCCTCAGGTCATGATCTTAGGGTCCCAGGATTGAGCCCCACATTGGGCTCCCTGCTCAATGGGGAGTCTGCTTCTCCCTTTGCCCCTTACCCAACTCATGCTCTCGCAAGTAAATAAAATCTTAAAAAAAAAAAAAAGACTACTGATCGAAAAAAAATATTTTCACAATCATGGAGCATTAACATCCAATTTATTCTCTTAAAAACAACAACAACAACAACAAATTTATTCTTCAATATTTAGTTTCTCACATTGCTACCAAGTAAGTATTCATTGACATCATTTTAAAGCAGGGGGGTTCCACAACCACTCCCTGCATTTTTGGTGGGTTTACTTTTGTGTTTTGCTTCCCTCCCTGCATTGTTTAACCCAAGCTCCCCATATGACAGGGACAGGCAGGTTCCTGTTATTCACTTACTTTTTCAGACTACACCTGGAATTAAGAAAGATCTGTATCCAGGCTCTGCTGCTGACTTGCCATGGGCTTTGGGCAAGTTACTTGCCCTCCCTGGGCTCCTGGGTCCCTTTTTATCAGTGACAGGCTCTGCCCTACCCACCTCTCAGAGGTACAGAAGCACTGTTCAAACAAACACGTCCACCATCATTGCCACTCATGAGCTAGGAAGAAAGACACTCAAAGTCCTAAGTCCTCTTGGAGGCACTAGGTTGTAAAAGCTTCTTGGGAAATGCCTGTGATAGTCATGTTCTCTAACAGGGTGCAGAGAAGGCACTTAGAAATTCCTGCTTAGGAGTAGTAGTGGGGTGGTGGGGCCCAGTGATCAAGTGAACAGGGCTCAGGTCTCCCACCCATTTCACTTGTAACACTTCTGCCATTGCCCATCTTAAATCTTGAGGCCTCCTCAGAGGATCTAATTGGCACTGAGTGGAAAGGAACCACTCACCCGGCCCAATATACCCACTTTGCAGATGGGAAAACTGAGGCCCCGAGAGGGGAAGAGGTATGCCTACCAGCACTGTTCTGGATGACTCCTGAGTGAGGCGTTTGCAAAGCATCCCTGAAAGGGTGCCCTCAAGATCTGAAATGAGAAAGAACATAGTTCTTCTAGGGAGATCAAGTATGACTTGGGAGTACATTCTGGAAAGTCTGAAAAATCGTGTATCTTCTCCAATCCTTTAAACCAGGATGCCAATGTGAGGCCTGAACACCACTCCCAGTAGTCAGGAGGTATACATATGACAAAATGAAGGTGAGAGGGGATGTGTGAACAGTAACAAGTAAGGTAGGTAAAGCCCAGAGCTCCCCCAACTCATCTCCCCTTGCTCCAGGGCCAAGAGCTGGGTCTGAGGTGTTCAGGGAGAGAGAAAAGAAATGACCCTCCCTGGCAAATGCCTCTAGGAGGAAACAGAAGTCTTCCTGCTGCCTGTCAGAATGGCTGATCCTGAGCCTGATCTCAGCTAATTCGGCAGCTCAAGGGGAAGACACCACTCCTGTATCTGCTCTGCATCTCAAATGTACCAAGAGAACCGGCATGACTCAAAGGAATTGTTATTGATTTTCACTTGTGCAGCTGACCTAACAAAACCAATTCGTCAAGTGCCTGTCTGCCTCGCTGCTCCAGACACTCATCCTAACCTCGTGCAAATAAATTACACAAGCATCTAGGGTGATTTGTCAAGGTCCAGATGGGCAGGGGCCCTGGCTCCCATGGAAGGACTCCAGGCTACGTTGGGTAGGATCAGGCCAGCAAATACCCCACAGTCGATCCTCTGTTGATCATTCTGGGGGGGCCCAGGAATCAGGATACCTCGCAGCTGCTGCTACACTGGAAACCAACTGGCTGTGCCCAGGAGGGGGTTTTAAGGAACAAGGCCCAAGTCCTTCAACAGGGCTTAGCAGTGACATTCTCACTAGTGTCTTCTGGTTTCTGATTCCTTGATTCTGGAGGATTTGATGGAGTGTACACACAATCAGGAGGCACCGAGCTCTGGTCCTGGCTCTGCTACTGGAAAAGTATCCTTGGGTCAGCTATGAGATGGCGATGATACCACCAATGGGAATCTAGGATTCTATAAAGGCCAGGGGTTAGACTGAGGGTCTAATCCTTGTTCTCCCACTTCCTGGATGTTGCCAGGGCAGGCACCTTCACCTTCAGTTTACAGCGCTTCACCTATAGCATAGGGCCTGGAAAAAGTACCTACCTCCTAGGGTGGAGGTCGTACAGACTGAAAGAGAACATGGAAAGGACCATAGGGCCTCACACCCTTATCTCTTCCTTCCGCAGGCAGGGACTAAAGGTTCACAGAAGGAAGTAATGTGCTTAGGGCCACACAGCAAAGTAGGGCAACATCAGAAGGGGTTAAAATGAGAGGCAAGTATGAAAGGCTGATGAGCAGAGCAGCGATCACCCTGCTCTCTTGCTCTCCTGATGGTGGCTGTCGCTGAAGGGAGACAGGCGGAGCAGACCAGGGGCACATCATGGATCACTGCTTGAAAGGGTCAAAAACTTTATTTGCAGGCCTTGTCTTTGTTTTTGAATTTAGAGGTTTCCTGCCATCTAGGATAAAAGTAGTTGGTGTCTTGCTGCATGAGGTTTGTGGGGCTTGCCTTGGGGCTCTGTCCCCATCCCTTTTGCCTGCTCTCTGGGCCCAGGGGTTCCTCCACTGTGGGATAAGGCACTGTGTGTTCTGCAAGAAGGCGCTCACGGATGGCTGGTAGACGACGACGAGGCGGCCTTCTCAGGGGCTGCAAAGCTGAGGCTGTTGAGGGGTGGAGTTGAATTTGGGACCCTGGCAGGAGGCCAAGTGGTGAGGAGACCCAAGGCTATGGTAACTCAGCCTGGCAAGTCTGGTGCTGCTGCCTCCCGGCTGGCCCTGACATGACAGCCTCAGGATGGAATCATGCCTTTGCTTCTTTTGCGGTCAGCCATGGTTCTTCGGTTGTGGTTGGCTCGTGTGGCCTTGTTGGCTTCCTTCTTCCTGCGTTCCTGGGTAGTCTCACGGCTCTGCCCGTGGCCCCGGGGGCTGCCGGCCACTGCAGTCGAGCTGTCATGCCGGTACCTGAGGGAGGAACAACCCACCCCAACATATGGGAAGAGCCCGCCACCTTTCTCAGAGGACCCATGGGAGAGGACATGCCACCTGGACCAGGACACCCATGTCCCCACTTCCAGTGGGAGAAGAAATGGAGCCCAGCAAGGGCAGGGCTCTGGGGGCTCTGGCTGGTCCTGTGTCTGGTGAATTCTCTTCCCTAAGCCCTGCCTCCAGGTGGGTCCCTGGCCTAGCTGTGGGCTAACCATAGCCTGCAGCAAGGAGAGGAGGGCCTGGGTACAGGGATGGGCCGGTTTCTTCCTCTGTAAGAGGATGATGATAAAGTGGCTACTTCATAGGGTCCTCCTGAGGGTTACATTAATACATGTAATACACTTGGAGTTTAGGTGTGGGCTTCCTAGGTGGTTGACTGAGCCGTCTCCAGACAGGTCCCCTCCCACCAGAAACAACTCTTTGAAATGCTCACCCCTTCCTGGCAAGGAAGGCCATCCGCCTGGCTTCTGCTTTCTCCCGCAGCACTGCAGGGTCCTGTACAAAATGGTCGGGCTGTGGACGGGAAGGGGGAAAAATAGTCTAGAGTCATGAGCCTCCCCATGTCCTGAAGCTGTGGTAAGGCTGCGCCTGACTGAATCTTGCTGACGCCTCCAGGCCAGGAGTGGGAGAAGCCACAGTGTGGCAGGGTGATGCCCTAGAAGGGAGCTGTCCTTGTTTGGGTCCAAGGTTCCCATCAGAAGCCTCTCTCCTCTGTCCCTCCCACCTCTCTCGTGATGGGAAGGAAGCTAAAGGGACTAAGGCTTCCTGCACAGACATGGTGGGGCAGGTGGATCACAGTTGGAACATGGATGACAAATGGGGGACAGGCCAGGATGGCCACCATGAGAGGCTATCTTGAAGGCCCAGATAGCTGCCCATGGGAGTTGACTCATCCTCACTCTAGTGCTACTACTAAAGTGCTGTGGGAGTTCCCAGTCTTTTTTTTTTTTTTGTAAGATTTAATTTCTTGGGGCATCTGGGTAGCTCTGTTGGTTAAGCATCTGTCTTTGACTCAGGTAATGATCCCAGGGTCCTGGGATCAAGTCCTATGTTGGGCTCATGCTCAGCAGGGAGTCTGCTTCTCCCTCTGCCTCTCTCCCCTGCTTGTGCTCTCTCATTCTCTCACAAATCAATAAATTAAATCTTAAAAAAAAAGATTTAATTTATTGATTTGAGGGACGACTGGGTGGCTCAGTGGTTGAGCATCTGCCTTCAGCTCAGGTCATGATCCTAGGGTCCTGGGATCAAATCCCGCATGGGAGCCTTACATGGGGCTCAATCCCAGGACCCTGAGACCATGATCTGAGCTAAAGTCAGATCCTTAACCAACTGAGACACCCAGGTGCCCTGGGACTATTCACTCCTGAAGACCATTTTTTTTTGCCAGTAAGCAAAGGAGCCTGGACTAGCGGCTGTGACTTAAGGATCACAGACAGCTCTTAATGGCCTATACTGTTTAAAAAAACACAAAGAAAACAAGTACAACTGGTAACATTTGAAAACTGGAAGATTTTATATAAAAATCTGGGCTATAACTCTGGGAAATGAACTAGGGGTGGTGGAAAGGGAGGTGGGTGTGACTAGGTGACGGGCACTGAGGTGGGCACTTGACGTGATGAGCACTGGGTGTTATTCTATATGTTGGCAAATTGAACACCAATAAAAAATGAATTTATCTATAAAAAAAAATCTGGGCTAATCCTGTGCCTGGGAAGAAGAGAAAGCCCTGGAAGCTCTGGGCCTATGTTTATGCTGAGAAGCCCCTTGGGCAGGTTGTATGTGTGCTTCTACCACACTGGCCATAGTTTCCATCAGTTTCTGCTACTCATTTACATTGGGTAGCCTGCATTTGTCTGGACACATCTGAATTTGTCACTCTTGTGGGAGGGTACGAGGGGATCCAGGGGTCCCAGGGTGCCACTCTGTTCAACCTGAGCAACAGTGCCCTTATCTGTTTTATATGCTGAGGTTCTAGTTAAGGCTTTATTTGAAGAAAAAGTTCAGCTGCTAAAAAATAAAAGTTTCAAACCCACCAGCTCAGATGACCTCCAAGGGCCCTTGGGCTCTGAGTTTCAGAATTGCTATCCTAAGCATGGTGGCAAAGAGCTACCCTTCTCTCAGCCCCCAGACTCCTGGGCCTAATGAATCCAGCAGCTCAAAGGCTTGGCCTCTAATCCATCCCCTAAGCCCTCACTAGGTAGTGGAGGGGAGTTCTAAGCCAGCAGCTCTCCAAAAAGGCATCCTAGGCTCAAAGGAGCCCCTCTTCTTCCCGGGTAGTGATCCAAGGGCCACCTTAAAGCCAGATGCAGGCAAGCAGGGGCGTGGTGGTCCTAATCTGCTCCTTGGGAACTACACCCTCCCCTTCATCTTCCACCTGCCAAGGAAGTACCTTTGGAGCCTCGTCTTCAGCCTCCTCCTCTTCTTCCTCCTCCTCCTCTTCCTGCCCTTCTCCAGGCACTTTGGTTCTCAGCACCTGAGGGATGGTGAAGGGCCTGAGGGTTTAGAGAGAAAGTGAGATCAAAGACTAGATTAAACTTGGAGAGGGAGCCTTGGGGAGGAGGGCATTGGGCTGGGTGAGAGGGGGTCATCAGGATGGGGATGGGCTCAGGCAGCTGGACAAAAAACCAAAGTGCTTTTCAAGCCAGCTTTGCTCCAGCCCCCTGACTCTCTGAGGGTACCAGAGTCTGATGTGGGGGCTTAGGGGAAGTTGAGCTGGGGCAGCTCTGCTTTTATCTGCATTGGGAAATCTGAGATCCCACTTCAGAGAGTTTTCTGCGGTTAAGAACAATGTAAAAGGACTGTGAGAAACCAAAGAAATGCCTCCCCATTCAGCATGGGTTGGACCAACTAGTTGGCCAAGGGGCTGGCTGATGGTGGAGGGAGCATTGGACTAGGAGTCAAGAGGCCTCAGTTTGGGCCCTGGCCCTACCTCTGACTTGCTCCCATGATCAGGGCCTTGGCCTCCCCATCTGTATAAACAAGAGGGTTCAGGAGTGCCGCTGTGCCCCCCCAGAACTCTGCCCTCTTAGGGCCCTGCAGCCTCACCTGCGGCTGATGAGCTCATCATCTGAGTCAGCATCGTTGGCGCCCACCTGGTTGCCGTCATATGTGTCATCATACTCGTCCTCATAGTCGTCACCGCGGTAGGGCAGGCCCTCGCCAGGCTGCAGTGGCACCTGCAATGGCAGAAGTGTGGGGCAGAAGGACCCTGAGTTGGTTGGTCCTGCACAACCCGCCCCCACCCCCGCTGCACCCAGCAAAGGCCTGGCTTGGAACCTCCTACCTCCTCCACCACCACGCTGTACTGCTCGTAGCGCTGCCGCTGCGCCACCACCTCCCGCTTGTCGTTTAGCAAGCTCCGAGTGTTCTCCTCCTTCCTGGTGTTGAGAGAGGCAGGGGACAGGGAGGAAGGAAAACCATCAGACTTTGAAGGCTGTGAGGGCAAGGGTCCAAAGCACCACAGGCTCAGGCTGGCACAAACTGTGACATATAGTGTCAAATACCAGTGTTTTTGTGTGGGGGTGGGAAGGTGGGACTTGCCACTGCCAGTGTCCATGTGACTGGGTCTAGCCACTCTGGAAGGCCTTCCAAAGGAGTTGTTGCATGATAAAACATGCCCATCCTTTGGCCAGGAAATTCCTCTTTGAGGCGCCCACTCTGGGGAAACGCTGGCTGTGAGCATAAAGAGGTCTGAGGGGGAACGTTCTTTTCAACATTGTTTGTGACAGTGAGAAATGGAAAACAACTAATGTCCATCACAAGGGAAATGGCCAAATGATGTCCCACATCTATATTACAGAACGCCAGGCGGCTGTTATCAAGAATGACATTCGTCTATTTGTGCTGATGCAGAAAGAATTCTAAGACTTATTCCTGAGGAAGAAAGCAAGCTACAGAAAAATGTATACAATAGGATCCCATCTGTAATAAAAAGCATAAAGCAAATCAGACAATCTGTTCCCATGAAAACACAGATTATAGTATACATATATCAATGCACAGAAAGAGCTAGTAAGTCCCCTGCCAAATGACAATGGTTACTCCTGGGTAGGGCCTGAGATTATTTGAACCTTTTAAGAAACACAAATTTATGGCAGCCCTGGTGGCGTAGCGGTTTAGTGCCGCCTGCAGCCCGGGGTGTGATCCTGGGGACCTGGGATCAAGTCCCACATCGGGCTCCCTGCATGGGGCCTGCTTCTCCCTCTGCCTGTGTCTCTGCCTCTCTCTCTCTCGCTCTGTCTCTCATGAATAAATAAAAAATAAAATCTTAAAAAAAAAAAAAAGGAAACAAAAATTTAGGGGCTCCTGGGTGGCACAGTTAGTTAAGCCTCACATTCTTGGTTTCAGCTCAGGTCAAGACCTCAGGGTCCTGGGATCGAGCTCCTCATCAGGCTCCTTGCTCAATGGGGAGTTTGCTTGAAATTCTTTCCCTCTGCCCTTCCTGCTCATGCTGTCTCTTTCCCTCTCTCTAAAATAAATAAATTCTTAAATAAAAAATTAAAAACAAAAATTTAAGAAAGAGCAAGGTCCCATGTGGCCCTCTTCCTGAGCTCAGGGGAACCACAGGGGACCTCAGGGGTATGTGGGGTGAGTAGGGGTAGCTAGCTGTCTTCTTCCTCCCATCCCTGCTTTCATCATGGTGGCCTTCTGTCTGTTCTACAGTTCAATCCTCCATGTCAGATTGCACTGGAAGAAAAAGTCCAAAAGTTCAACTCCTATTATATATCACAGGTGAAGATATTCGGGTGCAGTACACGGAAGGAGAGGGACGTGCTTGGGATCGGTGATCCGTAGCACAGCCTCAGTGGGGACTCAGGCCTCTTGACTGTGGCTTTGCAAATCTGTAGAAAAACCTGGCTTGTCAGACACATAGACAGGCCTGTGGAATGTAGTTTCTAGCCCTGCAGGGGAAAATCAATATGAGATGCCAGGCAAGAAAATCCAGCTTAGCTGTGAAATCAGTTTTCTGGAATGTATCAAGGGTAGGGGAAAAAAAAGAAGAAGAGATACAAAGTCATACACAACTTCCACAAAAATCTTCTATTAACTGGCTTTTGGTGCAGGAAGGGACAGGGGCCTGAGTGTCTCAGGCTGTCTGCCTGGAAGCCTGGGGGCAGCTCAGGATTTGGCTTCCTTTGACAGTTTTTACTAAGGGCCTACTATGTGCCAGAGAGGGTACTAAGGCTGAGTTGTGGGAGAGATTGAAAAAAGATCTTGATCTGTCCTCGTGGAACTCACAGTCTAATGAGGGTTACAAAGGGCGGCTTACGTGAAATATGCTGAATGGAGGTAAGCGTGCCCTGGGAACATAGGAAAAGGAAACGTTAAAAAAAAAAAAGAAAAGAAAAAAGAAAAAGGAAACGTGAACTCTGGCTCAGGGGGTCTACTGGGAGAGGGGGGAGGAAATGGAGGCACTGTGGGGTAGGGGGCATTTGATCTAGACCTGGGGAATTTCTTGGTCCACAGGAAAATTTTATATCATGCCAGGAAAGGGGGCCTGTGACTGCAGCCCCGGCCCTTACCTGGCTCTCTTCACTAGGCTAGGGGCTGAAGAGGAAAGAGGCCAAGAGCAAGGCAAAGTTGCCGGAGCTCGTGCAGGTGGTTGGTGCCATTGAAAGGAGCACATCTGCCCTTTCCACACACATTTCCTGAGGGCCTAGTAAGTGCTAGGACCTGTGCTGAGCCAGGCATCCAAGGATGAATGAGAGATGTCACTGTCCTTTCTGTCACACCCCACAGCTCCTGGTCCATCTGATCCCTGATTCTGGTGAGTAAGGTCCTGCTGTGGGTCTCTGGTTTATGTGGATCCCTGGCAGGGCCCTGCAAACTTTACCCACCCAGGGTCCTGGGAGGTCACACAGGCAGGAATAGTGGAGCCTAGTGCCCTGGGCATCCCACCCAAGGAGGGGCAGCCTTGGCCCCATGACTCCATTCAGAACCAAGAAGGAAAAGAAAGGGGCAAAGCCAGCCAGGAAAAGATCCATGTGAGGGCCAGAACTCCAGTCAAGTCTGGAACACAGGTAACCATGGCCTCAGAGACTTTGGAGCAAGTCCTTCCTTGGCCCCCTACAAGATGACAGGGGACCCCCTGAAGGCTCCCCTAAAGCCCAGACACTCTTCCCCCTCCTCACTTCTTCCACCCTATCCTTTGAGGCCCAACTCAAACTGGCCATTGGGGGGTGACTACCACCTTTAAACTTCTAAAGGACTAGTAGGGCAATAAGCCTCTCCTTTTCCAGGTGAGGAAAGGGAGATTCCAAGAGGCAGGGTGACTTTCCAAGGTCACCCAGCTTCTACCAGCCGAGCCAGGGCCAGAACATAGGTCTACTGGCTCAAGTCTGCTCAGGGACTTCCTGAGTGGTATGACCGATCAATCACAAGCAAGCCTCTTATCCTTGCCAAGTCTTAATTCTACAACCCAGGAATGAAGTAAGATGATGACTAAAAGTGAACCTGGCACCTGCTGAGCTCAACAAAGTGAATCCTGTTTCTTTTTACTGCAGGACTTGTCAGAACCATTAATGAGCTAACGTGTTCTGTGACTCTCCAAGAAGCAAAGTGCATTGACATTTTCTTGGCCATGGACCCTTTGCTGAGGGAGAACACTCATAATCTTCCAGGGTGCCATGGTTCACTCCAAACGAGTTCTGGGACCCCACCTTATACACACTGCCTCCTTCAACTAAGTATGATATCCCTATAGCACATGTGCTTGGCATCTACCCAAGAGCCACCCTCCATCTCACCCCCATTCCTAACAGATTCTCATTTGGTTCCGGTCTTTCCATCTTTCCCCCTTCTCCTGGAGCCTGGGCCTCAGCCCTGTGACCCAGTTCACCACTGAGATATGCGAGGAGTCTGGAGACTTCTGGGAAAGGCTTCCTGGTCTCTAAGAGAGATACAGGAAGATCTGGTCCAGACTTCCTCTTGGCACTGTCATTTCTGGAAGTCCTAGCTGAAATAGCTGCAGTGACCCAGTGGCTTCAAAGGAACCAGCTCCGAGAGATGGTAAAGATGTGTCCTTGATGATGAGGCTGAACCACAGGTTAACCAAGCCTAGACTGTCCTACCTTGCAACTCCCTGTCATGCAAGGAACAGATTTCCCTGTTACTTGAGCCACTGAATGCATCCTATTTGATTTAACCACACACATACAGTTTAACCCAAGCGTGACCTGCCTTGTGCTACTTTTCTCATGTGCCTGCTGACTGTCCTGCCCAGATTAGGACAAGTGTCCCCACTGAGGTCCCTGTAGGTCCCACCCCAGCACCTCTCCCACTCTGTCACTGCTTGTTTAATGGTATAAGTCTTTCCCACGGTCTCTGTGCTGAGAGCAAGGCCCGGGTGCCCTACTCACCTTGTCTCCCTGGTGTCTAGCACAGAATCTGGAGCTAGTAAATCACTTAATAAATATTTGCTGAATGAATAAATAAATAATGAACACATGAATGGAGGCTTTGCCTCTTCGCAATCCCCAGCCCCCAGGCTACCCAGCACAAGTTCAGTAAACATTTGCTGCCCAGTCTCTCTGCCTGGCAACTCGGAATGCCCTAAGAGCAGGCACAGCCCTCCTCATCTGCCCCTGTCTCCATAGCCAAAGCTGCAGAGGGTCATTCCAGTCTGGAACAGGGGCCACTGATGCAGGATAACATCTCTAGCCTGGGATCTGGGGATGTCGCAATGTGTGTGACTAAGCAGTTTACAATTGCTTCCTGTCCAGCCAGACAGATGGCTTATAGCTGCCCTGTGCCCGATCCCCCAAGCCCTTGGCTAGCCAAGCTTTCAGCAACGGATGGCCCTGGGGTGGGGGAGCAGCACAGGGCCCTCACTTGAAGCAGTAGCTTGCAATTCTGCCATTGGGGCTCCTATCACAAGAACAAGGCAGGTCCCCCACTGCCTCTCTCCGAACCTCCGTCTTTTGTATATATGATGGGGGAGAGGGCAGATTGTACTCATCTAACAGTTCCCAGATTTCCAGATTTCATGAACCAGTACCATTTAGGGGAACTCTGGAGCTAGCACAGTGTTGTCAACATCTTATTTTTCCTTTTATTTTAAACCCCATATTACAACTATTGGCTCATGGTCCCTCCAATGGGCCTCTATTCCAAAGCCAGGTCATCTTTCCAAAGCATAAAATGTGTCAGCTCATGGGACCCTCACCATGTTCCCCACAACCTCAGGGTCACTGCCCATTGTTGTTCACTCTGCCTGGAAGGTTTCTTCTTCCCTGCTCTTTGCAGAATTGGCCCTTTAGCCCTTCCTCATCCTTCCATCAACTCTTGGTTCCATGTCATTTCCTCAGAGGAGCCTTCCTGCTCAGATCGAACCCCCTACCAGAGGCTCAGAAGTCTGCACACCTTCACCTTATAGTCCCTGTTAGATCTGCAATTTTACTTTACTTGTTTGCTGAACTGATTAGTGCAAACTCCACAGGGCCAGGGGCCGTGTCTGTTTCATTGTCCACTACACTTCTAGCACCTCATAAATCCAGGGCCTAGTATGCTGTAAGCATCAGGCAAATATTTGTTGAATGAATGAATAAATCATAAATGGACTTTTCAATGCCAAAAAAGTAGAAAGGACATAACCTAAAAATAAGGAGAAAGATCTTAAAACAGAATATATTCACCTTCTGAAAAGCTTACTTAGTACAGATCCTTAATTTTCTCATTTTGTCACAGAATGGAGAAAATCGTGTGGAGTAGCAGCTTCTGGGAAGTACTGCTTAGATTTATTGCCCAGAGATTTGATGGTTGACACATCCGAAGATATAAGAAGGGAAGAGGGGGACAGTTTAGTTCTCTCTGGCCTTTTGTTATCAACAAGGGGATTCATTAAAAAACCATATGGGGAAAAAAAAACATACGGTGCAGAGTCAGAGCCTAATGCATAAGCATTAGAGAACCTGCCCCTGCCTGCTGGGAGCACACAGGTCCTGAATTGCTGGGGGGGGGGGGAGGGGGGCGGGGACCCAAGTCAAAACTCAGGCCAGTTCCTTAAAGATGGAGCCCTTATTTTTCTTCCACTTTTTTTTAATTTTTATTTATTTATGATAGTCACACACAGAGAGAGAGAGAGAGAGAGAGAGAGAGAGGCAGAGACACAGGCAGAGGGAGAAGCAGGCTCCATGCACCGGGAGCCCGACGTGGGATTCGATCTGGGGTCTCCAGGATCACGCCCTGGGCCAAAGGCAGGCGCCAAACTGCTGCGCCACCCAGGGATCCCTTTCTTCCATTTTTTTTCACTGCACTTATGGAGTTGGGGTCCCTGGCACCCCACAGCCCCCTGTACTCACCTCCTGCCCTTGTGCACCCGGCTCAGGTCCACTGAATCTCTGCTAAATACATCAAACTCGTCATTCTGGAAGATGTTGTGACGAGATGTCAGCAGGGGTGTCGGGTCTGGCTTTACCTGCCTGGTTGGGGGGAGGGGGGTGACAAGGAATCAGTTTCAGGGGGATTGGTCAGCTGATGGCCACCTGTGCCCTATGGATCCCTACAATGTTACATTCATTAGATTCTCCATTCCCCTTCAACAGCCACATGAGACACGATCTAAAAACCTGCCCTGTCTGGCCCCTACCTGGGTATGCCACATCCCTCCCCCTTGGTCCCACATGCCATCCACACAGATTTTCTTAAAGGTTCCCTCCCTTACTCAACACTCACAACAGTCCAATGAGATAGGGAGCTAAGATCACTCAACCTTTCTGTGCCTTAGTACCCTCCTCTGTAAAATGGGCATGAAGTGGCTAAGAACTTATCCAAAGACAGAGCTAACTTCATTCATTTAAGAAACATAATTTGTTCATGGAAGAAACACTCATTTGTAAACTCATTCCTGTGAGCCCCATGGGCCTTCAGGGAAGCAGTGGGCCAAACTCCGAAACGTAGGTGTGAGAAAAGTGAGAAGCTCTGGCCATCCTCCTTCAGCAATCTACTGGAAAGGTGACGATGACGGGCAAGCCAGAAACTTCCGAGCTCTGAAAGGCTCAGTAATCCCTTTGTCACTTCCTACGTTTCTAATCTCCTCCGATAAGGTGTTTTAGGGCTGTCCAGCTGTGCACACTCTCTGCCCTGCAGGGGGCATGTGAGGACCTCCTGGATGGCCTAAAGTTTTGATGTTTTCCCAAGGAGGGCATTCAATTATATGGTTGGCAAACACTACTGTGGAGAAGAGACAAAGGGCTGAGTTTTGGCATAAGAGTGGGAAGCAGGGGAGCTAAGAAGTGCTTCTGGCCAGGGCCCTGACACAGCCTGGGCGCCCTGAGCCCAGCTCCCACCTATCTCTCCTACCTGTCCAGGCTGCGGTCCAGCTGGCTGAGGGCAGGGGCCAACCGCTCCTCCAGGATGTTGTTGATCACCTGCTCCGGGTTATAGCTGTACTGCTCCAGGCAGGCCAGGATGAAGCCCTCGCCAAGGTCTGGCAGCAGATCCTTCACTTGAGAGATGAGGGAGTCTAGCTCCACACCACACACAGGGGGACCTAGGGCAGCAGCTGCCCCCATGCACTGCAGAGAGAGCTGGAGTGAAGGAGGGGAAGGCCAGGCCAGGTGGGTGATAGGGCAAAGGGCCCCGAAATGCACAGGATGGGGAATCAGGGGACCTAGTATGAGTCCTCTGGCCCTGGCACTCCTGGGTCTAGGAACTCAGCCAAATGACTCAGGTCTCTTGAGTGTTCATTTCCTCCCCTGGGAAAAAGGGGATTCTATGACTTACTGGTGGAGGTACTTCAAGCTGTGTGACTTTGGGCAGGGCACTTCTCTTCTCTAAACCCCAGCTCTCTCCATATAAAATGAGCATACTACCATCCACCTCATGGGATTGTTTCAGATGGTTCAGGGAGAATCTTGCACCTGAAGCGCCAAGCACAGGGCCTGGAGAAGACTATGAGCTCCATAAATGACTGTGGCTTCTACTAATCTTTCTCCAGCTTTAACAAGTTGATGGCTGACACTGGAGAGGAACAGCTATCACCAGCCCAGGCTTGTGAGCTGCTCCCCTTTGATTATATTCTTTTTAATAAGGGGGGATTCAGCTCATACCTTGCTCGATGTGACTTAATTCTGCTAGGTTTTTCATTTAAGGAAATTCACAAATCAAACAAACAACAATAAAAAATCATCCAAGTGTCCAATAAGAAGCCAAATGGGGAAGGGGGTGAGAAAGGTGGGGAGGACTGTCATTTTCCAAGGCCCTGTGACAGTCATGGGCCTGAGTCTAACCAGAAGGAGATTAGAAACTGTTAACAGAGCACAGAGGGCCAGCTGGGCTCCGGCCGCTCCACACAACAGCTCTGGGAATCCCAACAAACTTGTGGAGGCAAGGATGGCGACTGTCCCCACCTTATAGATGGGGAAGAGGCTAGATGTGAGTGATCTATCTATGGCCGCACAGCTGGTGAGTGGCAGAAACAGGGTACACCCCTGAGCTGCCTGACCCCAGAGACCATGCGGTCTAACCCTAACCCTATATCATGCTGCCTCCTAGCGTGCAGGGAAGAGTCCTGAACTCAGTGGCCAATCCATACAGCTGGAGACTTGGCAAGTTCTGGAAAAGCCCAGAGGAAAGTACTAGATCAGAGGCTTCCAAACTTGCTCAGAGGAGCCCTGCAGTCCCATGGCAGGGCATCTAGGCTGGCTGAGCAGTGAGACCAGGCACTGCTCTCCACTGCATCCAAAGCAGCTCCATGGTGACTTGTTTAGAGGAGAGCACCAAAGGATTTAATTTGGAAAAGGCTCCACTGCTTCATTATATACAGGAGAAACTGGGGTTTTGGCCACCGAAGCAACTTGACTCTATTAAAGGCAGCACGGAGCAGACCAGCAGCTCCAGCAGCCTGAGGCTGTCAATTCCAAAAGCAAACTTTTTCTCTGAGAGCAGAAACCAAGAAAGGAGAGGTTTCCTGGAAGGAGCAGGAGAAGCAGAGGAAAACATTTATCCAGACACACACCTCCTCTTCCTCTGCGTTTTCCAGATGTGAGGACGGTCCACTGATTGGCTCCACTGTCGCAATGACCCCATTAGGATCCTCGGCCACTGGTGGATCTTTAGCATCTGTGGTTTTCCGTCGGTCCACCCCTTCCCATGCACTCTCAACTGCCTGGAGGATATAGGCAGTCCGAGTCTCGTCCCTATGACATGTGTTAAGTTGTCTCCCTCTTCGGTGCCAGAGCCTTTTCTGCCTCCCTTGCTCTGAGGCAACATAATTTCTCAATCCCTTCCCAGCATCTGACCCCAAGACTTGTGTTAGGAGCAATGTGGGCTGTACCCAGTGGGCATGATGGGCACCCAGGCTGCATGGAGAAACAGGCCAGACTATGACCACACTGGCCTTGAAGCCTAGTACCTGCCACTGAGCAGAAAGCAGCTCTGGATGAAGACAGGGCCAGAGGTATCCTGGGACATGATATTTAGATGAGCCAGCAACTCCTCCTCTGCACTGACCCCTAGGAGGAGGGCCTGATCGGGGTACTGCCACTGGGCTTCCTGTCCAACTAGCTGAGGGCTTCCTACAAAAGCTGGGGACCCATACAGTATCCCTGAGGCAAGACTGAGAAACCTGGCTGAGCCTCTAAAATGGCCCGCAGGCCCTCCTCTCTGTCCTTCCTCCCTCTCTACCACCCTGGACATTGCCAAGCCAGACATCTGGGAGTTGCCCTAGACTCTTTCCCTCCTCTTCTAATCCTAACCCCCACTAGGCATGCCTGAATGCCAGTACCAGCATCCTCACCAGCCCCTGGGCCTCAAAGAGGTCCCAGCCCAGGCTGTTCTCCTCCCTATGCCAGATAGAGCTTTTCCAAAGTATAAAACTGATCCTGTAACTCCCTGTTTTGCACCTTTCCATGACACCCCAGTGCTCGTAGGACAGAGTCCAAACTTCTTAGTGAGAGTTATCCCAGAGCTGTGCTGGTCTGCTCACCTCCCCCGGCTCATCTGCAGTACCATAGCCTCCTTCCACAAGACCTCAGCCCCACTCTGTGATCTATACAAAATGTCTGTGGGCTCCTCAGATGGGCCTCTCTGTCCTCCATCCACTGGGAACACTCCGCTCTGGGCTTGGCCTCCTCCACTTTCTTCTGCTGTTCTCAGCTTGGACATCACTTCTGTCTCACAGCCTTATCCTGAGCTTGCTGGGTGAGGTGCTTTCCTTGGCTTTCCTGTCCTCTGAATTTCTCCCATATGACGCTCTGCTTGTTTACTTGTCTGTGTCCCCTCCTGCAATGAGGTCTGTGAGAACAGGGCCAAGTCCACGTTGGTCGCACAGGCCCAGACACTCAGTAAACACCTCCAGAATGCAGGACTCCTACCCCACCCAGCTCTGAGAATTAGAGTAGTCAACTCATCCAGGAACAGGGACTGAGGCTTTGGTGGGCACTCTGGGGAAAACTGGCTGACCCATGCGTTCTGGAGCCAAACCACTCTCTGCTCCACTGGGTCCTAGCAGCCCATCTCAAACCTGGTCAGGCCAGGTCCTGTCCTAGTGGCTGTGGAAGAAGGATACAAGACCGCTGAGGCCTGCTGTAGCAAGCTGACATCATCAGCCACAGGGAAGAGTGTGTCGTAGTCCCGGAGGAACCTGCTGGGCAGAGAGTAGATGGAAGGGACAAGGCTGGTGCAACAGGAGTACTGGTCTGCTGCCCAACCACAAAGCTCAGAACCTTAGACTATGGTGAGCATACGGCAGAGGTATGTAAGGCCTTGTGTGGACTGGTCCCAGCTCGGCCACACTCACCTCTTCTCCTGCAGCAAGGAGCTGAAGATCTGAAGGAACTCTTCAATGAAGCCCTGAATGTTGTCACAGCTGGAACAGACAACAGGGAAAATGAGCTCACTCTATGTAAATGATCTGTAGCCCCCCTCCCTGCCTACCCGCCTGGCTCCTCTACAAGGCCTCAAGCCAGCTGGAGGAAAAGAGGCATTTGTCTCTTTTTCCCATCTCTGCTCAGCAGGGAAGGGGGCGGATGAAGTGACGGGATGGCCTCTGCTGGGCTGAGGAAGGGGCTTCTTCCACCCAGGCAGTTGCTCCCAAAGGCTCACCTGCTTTCCAGGACAGGGAGAAGGCAGATCTGGTTCATGAGGATGTGAAAAATCTCCAGTAGCTTTTTCCTGGAATGGGACAGCCTCTGCCACAGGTCACCTAGCAGCCTTTGAAGGCCAGAGAGAGAGAGAGAGAGAGAGAAAGAGGGAAATAGAGATCTAGGAGATCAAAAGGCCCGGAGGGAGCTTATACTCAACAGTTGCAGGTGCCCCTCCTCTAAGCTGAGAAAGCCTCACAATTCACTGTGGACAGCAGGTGGCAAAAGGCTACAGGCCCTGAGAGGCCAGCTGATTCCAGGGCTGCTTCTTGTTTAAACTGTGGATGGGAAACCAGGTGTGCCAATTAACACGAGCTTTGAGTAAATGCTGAGGGAAAAGACTGCGAGGTAGGGACACTGAAGCTGGTCCATGGTGTCACCCCCTCGTTCTTAGAGATGGGGACACTGAAGCCAAGGGAGGGCAGGGCCTCCCTCCCTCTTAGTTTGTCCCCTGCTTACTTGCTGTCTTCAAGCCTCCTCTTCTTAATTGCAGACTCTAGTTCAGGAACTGCTATTTCATAAAAGGAAGCCAGTCTGTGGAGGCACACATGGGGAAAAGGTGGGCTTAGTTAAAAAATCTAACATCACACTTCTATCAGGAAATCACAGCAACCCATGGGACGGCCCATTTCTTGCTCCCAAGTGGTCACCACAGCAATCTGCTTCCAGAACCACCCTCACTCTTCCCCAAGCTCACCCCAGATCAACCCACTGTAGCTGCAGGAAAAGCCTTGTGAGAAGTGACCTGTAGCTACATGTGCACCGCCCCCATTCACATGGGAAACAGGCCCAGACAGGCTCCTTCTCACAGAGCAACCAGAGGGCTACTCAGAACTCAATGAGGTTTGAGAAATGAACAAGGTCATTTTTTGTTTGCTCAAACCTGCTAGTGGCTCCCCACCTACTAAGACATTAAACTATAATTCCTCTCTCTGGTACATCCATAGCTTGTGTGGAGTAGCCAACCTTGCTTCTCACCTTAGCAACCTCACACCCATCCCCTTTCCCAACTCAGACTCTAATTCTCTGTCCCATCCACACACTTCATGGTGATGCTCACCCACGTGATTACCCCTTCCCAGAACTAGGTGCCTAGCATTCAGAATAGTTACCCTTACAACTTACAATGGTGCTGCCCCTCTTCTGTGGTCAATTCTTCCTCTGAATATCTTATGCTTCCCAAAGCCAGAACTGTAGCCTTAGGGCCTGGGAGATGCTGAATTTGTAGCATCTGTAAACACTTAACTACTGATTGACAGGATTCTGGGAATTTCTATGCTAGTATAATAGTCCCATACACAACAGAGGGTAACTAGGCCCGAAGAGGCAGGCTTTCTAAGCCCATGGCATGGCACCCAGAAAAAGACAGAGCTGAGTTTGGCCCAAACAGATTCAGGTGTTGCCAGGATACATTGCTGGTGGGAGAGTAAACTGAAACAACCCCTATGGAGGGCGATTTGGCGAGATCTATAAAAATTTAAAATGCACAAACCATCTGTTCTTGTGATTCTACTTCTAGGAATATATTCCTCAGATATTTTGCAAAGGTGCACAATGATGTATGTGCAGTTATTCTTTGTAACATTTTTCTGTGATAGCAAACAACTGAAAAAAAAACCCTAAAGGTTGATCTATGGGGTCTAGTATTCCATACAATACAATAGAATTCTATCTAGTACCAAAGATTGTAATTGCTTTGTATACTGATACACATTAAATTTAAAAATAAAATGCACCCAGCCTCTAGAACTGTGAGAAATAAATTTCTGTTGTTTAAATAAATAAAAACATATATAATACATATAGTACTCATAATATGTCAGCAGTTAATTTAAAAGATAGGGGGGTGTCTGGGTGGCTCAGTCGGTTGAGCATCTGACTCTTGGTTTCAGCTCAGGTCATGATCCCAGGGTCACAGGGTTGAGCCTTACGTCAGTGGGGAGTCTGCTTGAGATTCTCTCTCCCTCGCCCTCTGCCCCTCCCTCTGCTTGCACTCTCCCTAAAAATAAATAAAATTTTTTTAAAAAGCAGAAAGGGTAAAAAAATAAATAAATAAAAAGCAGAAAGGGTGATATGTAATGTGCATATCTCCTTATATTTATATGCATATCTCTGGGAAATTCCACACACACAAATAAAACCCCTAACAATGGTGGTATGTGAAACAGGACTGGGGACAGAGGAGACATAGATGGCTTTATATATATGTAATAATTGTTATTTTTTACATTTTTTTTAAAGTAAGCTCTACACCAAGTGTGGGGCTTGAACTCATGACCCAGAGATCAAAATTTGCATGCTCCACTGACTGAGCCAGCCAGGAGCCCCTCAGTATATATTTTATACCTTTTGAGTTTTGAACCATGTGAATATATTATTGATTCATAAAATTAAGTGACAGAGAGATACTCAGATATACTTGAGGATGTCTGGGAGGATGGAGTTTGTTCTGAGAGGATCAGCCACAGAGTTGTTTGATGGCTGTAGCGCCTTCCAGAAAGTTGCTAGGAGTGAAGTGGCTGCATTTGCTCAGCGGGCATTCCTGGGCTCTAGCGCAGTGTGAACAGGCTGGGCCAGCCCCCTTGCTCTTTGTGGGACAAAGGCATTGTCACTTACAGTCAACAGTGCTTTTCTTTCTTCCTCCTCACTCTCAGATGGGTGGAGCCACTCCTCTCCCTTTACTATGGCTTGCAGGAAAGTCAGTTCTTCCAAAAATTACCCTCTGTTGCCAAAGACCCTTTCAAAAGCAATCTATGCCATGTTTGGGAAGACGCTTTAACAAAATGGGAAAATGCCTATGGGGATGCCTGGCTGGCTCAGTCGGTAGAGCATGTGACTCTTGATCATGGGGTCATGAGTTTGAACCCCACATTGGGGGTAGAGCTTACTTAAAAAGAAAAAGAAAAGACAATGCCTATGGTAAGTGAAGATAAGCAGGATACAAAATCCTAAGAACAGCATGATCTCTCATAGTGATTTTAATTTTTTTTAATGAAGATTTTATTTATGTATGAGGGAGAGGAAGGAGCAGAGGGAGAAGTTGATAAGCAGACCCTGCATTGAACATGGAGCCCGATGTGGGGCTCGATCCCAAGACCCTGAGAACATGACCTGAGCTGAAACCAATAGTCAGCCGCTTAACGGACTGAGCCATCCAGGCACCTCTGATTTTAATATTCTACCTTTAGGGATTTTTCAAATTTCCTATGAGCGTTTGCCACTTTAACTGTGAGAAAAGACACCTTTTTCAAAAAGTGGACAGCTACAGGGCCATCCTAACCCCTTTCTTCTGGGGAGAGTGCTGATTGGTGCTGTATTCTAACATCCTCTGGGAGACTGATCAGTCCTCACATCAGGAGCTGAGAAGACCCAGGAGGGGTCAGGGAACCGGTACCATCTCTGATGCAGGTCAGTGCTGGATACATGTTTTGTTGAATGGGCAAGTGAATGATTGAATGGACTGATAGCAGAGTGGATGGAATTGGGCAGCTCCCAGAAGCTCCTGCAGACAGTGGGGAGAGATGTCTGGCAAGAACAAGAGCCAGAGGCCACTGAGAACAGGCCAGACCCCGCTGTTGCCAGGCAACATGCAGGTTACCAGCCCAGGCCTGTGCACCCTTTTCTCATCGCCCAAGAAACAGATGAATGCTCCTGGTGCTAAGTGGGCAAGGAGGGTCTCCCTCCCTACATTTTTCTTTGCTCATATCCTCCTCTACATCTTTTCTCATCCTGGCAGGATCTTTCTATAACTCCTTTGCAAAAAAGCTTCCAGTGGCGCCTACAGAATAAAGGCCCCTCCCTGCCAGCGAGGTCAAGGCTCACAGTCTGGCTTCTACCAACCTCTCTGAAGTATCTTTTCCTGTTACCTGCTCCTGTTCCTGCTACCCTGGACCCCAAATCATCCCACTTCATTCCCTGGCTCTCCTTGGACACACTCTGGGCCTTCCCACCTTCACTCCGCCTGCTTGGAATATCCTTCCTGCCACTGTAATCTTTCTGTCTAGAAGGTTCCTCCTCATTTTTCCAGATCTCATGTAAGGGCCATCATGAAACCTCTTATTCCACCAGACAGAATTTTGCCTCCTTCCTCTGGGTTCCCAGCCTCACATGTAGCATATCTGCTTGTTTCTTTGCACGTGATCTCCTCTAGACTTGATGCTTAAGTCCTCAGGCCACTTCTTATGATCTGTTAGTCCTTTGTGCCTGACCACGAAAGGGGATTTGAAAAGAACAGAGCTGAACTAAAACTGTCCTATTTTTTGTTGGTGGTTTAGGTTTTTTTTCCTCCCCTACCTAGTTCTTAGCCAAAAATGGGTATACTCTAAAATGCAGGCTCAACATAAGCAGGAGCCTTACTTGTCTTCTTCACTACTGTAACCCCAGGCTGGAAGAGTGCCGGCACATCCTAAGTACCCAGTAAATGTCTGCTGAATGAAGATGTCAGCTAGAATCTCTATTTTAGCACTCAGGACTACTGCTGTACCTGTAACAGAAGTCGTGTTTCTGGAAAGTTTGGCAAGCCAGGGGGAAGATATCCAGAAAGGCCCAGAGCGTAGTGCAGGTATCACAAAGGTAGAGGACAATGTCTTTTAATTCCTGTTGCCAAAAGAAAACACTGCATTATTCTCCTCTGCCCCCAGACACAACTCTGTAGTGGGTCTGAGACAAAGCTGACAAAACCCGTGGGAGTCAAGAGGCAGATGCCTTGTGGGGGGAAGAGATCACTGAAGGTCTGAGCGAAGCCTGGCTGGTCCATCTCTAGGAGCACGGTTTGGACAAGTTATTCAATCTCCCTCCCTCAGGTCTTGCTACTGTAGCTCCAACAGGCACCCACCCAATGATCTCTGGGGCTACCTCTCATTCTAGGATAATACAGTTCTCTCTTCTAAGCTGAAGGAGAACCAACCCCTGAACCTGAAGACAACACCTGGGGTCCTATACAGAAAGTACATCCCATCAAGAACAAGAATATCAAGCCCACACTTTTCGTACATTTTGAAGAGCATATACAGAACACAGAGTTCTTTCTTTCCTCTTTCTTTTATGGAGTGCTTTCTTACACACGTTCCTGAGGCTCCTGCCTATTAAAAGCAGGCTGAGCAGTTGTTAGGATCCCTATTTTACAGATAAGGAAACCGAGGTTCTGACGGGTAAAGTGACTTGCTCCCACAGTGCTTGGTGTGCCTCTTTCTGAAACACTTGTTTTTCCACAAAAGTGCAAATTCCAAGAGGGTAGCTCACAGCTGCCTCTTTCCTGCTCTATCTCCAGTGCTTAGCACAAGGCCTGACACATGTCTAGGTTCCTTACTTTCCTCTGCCCTAGACTGTAAGTTCCATGAGAGCAGGGGCCCTGTTTGCTTTTGCCTGCTCCTTTACCCTGAAGCCTCAGCACATGGCAGAGCATCCTCAGTACAAATCTGCTGACCAAACTCAGGGCTCAATGAATAACACAAATGAGTTCACTGTGCTGAACTAAGTGAGGATTGAGCCCCCATCCTCTGCACTCTAGTTCCCTGTTCTTCCCACTACTCCCTAAATGAAGCTCCCACAGAGAAACAGAAATCTCACTGAAATGCTTGAAGCCTGTGTGATGGGAAGAGTGGCTTATGGAGTTGGGGCAAAGGGCCAGGAGCAGGGGAAGAAGCTGTTGGGTCCCCTACTAGCTAAGAAGAAGCTGGGCTGACAGGCAACCTCACCAGGAGAGGCATGACGCTGGGGGTCAACCGGCCCCTCTCTTCAAGCTTCTGGGGTGTGGCACTGGCTCCATCCCCTTGCAAACCACAGTGCTGGAGGATATTGCTGAAAACCTGTGAAACACAAGAAGGAGGTCTCCCACATCCTGTCAAACCAGCAGCTAGGACCCCTGACCTGCAGTCGGGGGTGGGTGATATGAAAGCTGCCTTGGGATCTCTCGAGTATGTGCCAGCATTCCCAAGAAACCAGCCAAGACTACAACAGGGCCCAGGTCAGAGTGGAAACTGTAAAATAGGGATGATGAGGATTATTCTTCTTACAGGATTGTGGTGAGGGTGAGGATTAAAAAGACAAAATGTAAAGGGGCACCTGGCTGGTTCAGTCAGAAGAGTATGCAGCTCTGGATCTCGGGGTCGTGAGTTTGAGCTCCAAGTTGGGTGTTGAGGTTACATAAGCAAATAAAACTCAAAAAAAAAAAAAAAAAGACGAAATGTATGAAAAGCCCCCAGAATCCTGTAGAAATTATCTGAATGGGTGGATATGTTGGGCAAGTGTGTGGTAATGATTATTTAAGATACACATTCAATAATATATATTTTGGATCCTCTGGAGATGGTGATTTATGGAAATACATTGAAATCAAAGACAAATCAACAGTAAGGAGAAGGGATGCCTGGGTGGCTCAGTGGTTTAGTGCCTGCCTCTGGCTCAGGGAGTGATCCTGGTGTCTTGGGATCGAGTCCCGCATCGGGCTCCCGGCATGAAGCCTGCTTCTCCCTCTCCCTATGTCTCTGCTTCTCTCTCTCTGTGTCTCTCATGAGTAAATAAATAAAATCTTAAAAAAAAAAAAAAACAGTGAGGAGAAAACAGCCCATTGTAATATCATGCAAGTCTTTAACTCACTGCGCCATCTTTAAGTATGCTAGCACATAACTATCCTAAACATTATTGTGAATAGTGGAATCTCCTGGCACTGGAATTATGGGTTAATTTTCCTGTTTTTTTTTTCTTTATATTTTCCAAATTTTCTACAATGAACATTATTTTATAAAACAGTTTTATAGAACTTTAAAGCTCTCATTTGAGAAACACAGGTCTCTTGGAAGGGTGTCCATAGAGGTTATGGCTGTTGGCAAAGAGCACACACTTTAAGCTCTTAGTATAAGTGCTAGATAGCCTTTAGATTTTAGTTTTGTTCAAGCAGGGAAAGGGGCGAATTTGAAAGGGTGCGCTGTGGGGCATGATGCAGAGATTGTCTAGGGATAGGACTGGAGAGGGGTGGTGGGTAAATGTTTCTTGGGGCTCTTCCAGGAAAGTCCAGGGATATACCGATATACCATCAGGTTAGGGAGGGGATCTGGACAGGACTGAGAGCTGGTACCTGAAGGATGGTGGGCATGGTTTCATCCAGGTCATTATAGTAACTTGGCTGCTGGGTAAAGATGTTTCCTGAAAAGAGAAGAGAAAGGCAGGAATTGGGGAAAGAGGGTGAGGGAGGGGAGGACACATTACAAATGGTTGCCAGCATGTTCTGTGACCTTTCTTCCCTTTCCTAAGCCCATCTGCACTAGAGCAGTCCTGGCCCCAGGCCCTGCTGGCACAGAGCTTTGGCCCAGCCTAGAAACTTCCCCAGCATGAGGGAGGGACTTTATTCAGTACAATTTAACCTTTTAAACACCTCTGCTTAACGAATTACATAAAAGGCCAGCCCTGGTCAAACCAGCTCATCCGGATGTCCCCAGGGAGTGATCACACTTGGGCACTGTGCCTTTATAACAGCATTGGCTTTGCAAGTGGGTATTAGTCATCCAGGAAAATCAGGAGGTATGATCTCTTTGCTCAAGAAACCTGGATGCTACAATCCAGGATTCTTGCCAGGTCACGCCTCTAATAATGTGAGGAGACTCTAGGGAGAAATTTGTCTGGAAATTCTCTTACCCTCTGCTTTCGAATACACTAGCCATGCTAATCCATCTTCCTCCAAGAGGAGAGGTCTGGGAGAGACCTAGAGACAGGTTTACCACACATTTGCAATTGTTCCTATAAAACAAAGCTCCTTCCGACTGTCTACTACCTCTAAGCACTGCTGCTGTTGTGAGTGCATAGGTTAGAGCATATGGTCACTGGAACAGAAACCAAGTGTTCCGGCTGCCGAAATGGCGAGGGAGGAAGGGAAAATCATAGCTAGCCAGGAGACATGATGATGCAAAATACCAACACCCTTAAGAAGAGGCCAGGGTTCTTCAGCCCACCATAATCCTAACATCTAATGATGGCGGACTGTCAGGCTGTGCTGAATTCTAAGCATCTTTTATCTTTGGGCAGGTCTGTCCTCGGTTTCCTTAATGAAAATGCTGCAGCCCTTGCCCCATCCCAGAGGATTTGAAAATCAATGAGGTCAAAGGCCAGATGGGACTGAGTAAGTCAGCAAATCACTATGTAGCTGGACTTTCTGTAAACACTTTCTTGGATGCTACTTCGTTCCTTGATTCCAGAAAGCTGAGTTTTACCAGCATGAGCTTGCTCAGTGCATCCCACCTCCAGATGAGTGCTGATCCCTCAACCTGTGTAGGTACTCCCTGACCATCTGTGCCCACCTCCTACTCTTGACAGCAAGGAAGAACTGAGCTGTCTCCCCACCAACCTCTGTTCTTTCTCAGAAAACCCTCCCATCTGATGGTATCCTCAAGGTCAAGTCTGAACTCCTGGCCACAGCACTGAGGATTATGTGAGATCTGGCCCTGATGGCATTTCCAGCCACCCTCTCCCCATTTCTTGTGCCTGCATTACTCTCTTGTACCTCCTCAACCTCAGAGAACAAGCCGTCTCCTCCTTCTGCCTAGAGTGACTTCCCAGAGCTACATTCACCATAAGGTAGGTGTCACCTTCTCCAGGTAGTACCTCCTGACTCAGGCATCAGGAGCAGGTCTCCCCCCAGTGCCATATGGTAGACCCCACTATGCCCCAACCACCTGGCCCAGAGTAGGACACTCTTTCATAATCCTTCTAGTGCCTATGCCTGAATAACAGGGATGTTTTATAAGCATCAAAACAGATAACATTTCACAACTGACCCTTCCCTCTCCTTTATCTGATCCGGTGATGGTGAAGATCTGACTTTTGATCTCTTAAAGAAACAAGAAGTAAGAGACAACAGTGGCATCCCTCCCAGACTAAAGCAGTTCAGAAACCCAGGGTGAATGGAAGGTATTACCAAAGAGATTGGAGCAGTCCTCAATGGAGCCAAGGCCTGATGTCCTCCTGCTTTCACAAAGTGGCTCACTGAAAGACCTCACTTACAAAATTACACTTACTGACTCAGAATGCCAATCTTGAGGGTGAAAAAAAAGCTAGGTGTTTTTGTGCAAGAAGGTTGGGGAGGGAGGTGGGTGCCAGGTAAGGACTGGGCTTCTGGCCAAAGGATGATCAGCCAGTCCCCTTGTTTCCTCCTTCTCTCCTTCTCTCCCTTGTCAACACTCTTACTACAGCTAATCTTTTTTTTTTTTTTTTTTTAAGAGAAGCCAGCCTTTATTTCTACTACAGCTGATTTGCTTTGCTCAAGAGCTTCTGGGGTAGAGACAGTAGAGACTGCCCCTTGTGCCTTCTGCTCAAGGGTTGGAAAGAGAGCTGCTCTGTGTGTGTGTGTGTGTGTGTGTGTGTGTGTGCGCGCGCGCACGCACCTGCATGCATATGTCTGTGTCTGTCTGTCTGCAGACCTGTCCTCCACACCCCCCTCAACACATACACCCCAATACACACACAACGAAGGGGCTCCACATGCCTGTCCTGCCTTCTTTTCTATTAATCACCCTCTAAAAGACAAAGAATGGACTGTCCTAAATAAGCCAATTAAGGGTTCCCAATCTGGGAATAAAAACATTCTAAAAACACCTCAAAATCTGTAAGGGGGTATGTTTTTCTGGGGAGAAGCTTTCATTTGATTCTCAAAGAAGTGAGTAATTCAAAAGATTAGGAGTTTTCTCACTCCACCCTTGCTTTCCTGGAACTGCAGCCAAAAATCCTCTCCTCCTGAATCTGCACAGCTTCTCACACCCTACAGATCTAAACAGACTATGCCTCCACTTGCAACCCACCCCCAGCCCAAAAGGCCCCTTTCCTGCACCCCACACCAGTTTTCTCCAGAGTTATTGACTTCTCCCTCCAGCTGACCTTCCCAAGCCATGCTTTATTCTACCTCCAGGATGTCTTCTTCAGCCCAACCAGACTCTTACCTTCAAACCCACACTGAAGCACTGGCCTCCTACTCGGTCTCCTGTCACCACCCTTCCCACTGGCAAGCTGCCAAATTAACCTTGACACCAGATAGCTCCTCCTAGTAGCTCCCGTGGCCTCATCACAGTAAGAGCTCACAGTCACCAGGCACTTATAAGGAGCCAGGCACTGTGCTAACCCTCACAATCATCCTATAAGTTACATAAGGCATTAGTCTTCCCATTCTTCAGATGTAAAAACTGAGGCTGTGGGCGGCTAACTGACTTGGACCAAGTGACACAGTCAGGAGTAGAGCTGGGGTGTGAATTGGCAGAGCCTACCTTCTGAGCCAATGAGCGATACTACTCCCCCAAGTACTAATGGCTGGCACAGAGCCCTCCCCAATCTGGCCCCAGCTGCCCCTTCCCATCTTCTGCTGCTGCCCTCCTGGAATTCTCTGCTCTAATCAAACTGGCCTAATAACTGTTTCTCTAACTAATCATGCCCAGTTTGCTCACTCACTCCATGCCCTCAGTCTATAGTAACATTATGAAGAGTCTTTCTCTGGGAAAGTAAAAGAAATGAACTGATGATCAAGGAAAAAGATTTGAATGAGAAACCAGATGCTGTTCCAATGAAAAGGCTGGATATGAAATTTCATGTTATGGCCTGACATGTCTTTGAAAAATACACAGAGAAAAGACTGGAAGGAAATAATCACCAAATGATTGTCTCTGGGCACAGGAATTTGGTAATCGCTTTTCCACTTCTTTATGCTTTATATTCTTCCCAAACTTTCTAAATTAACATATATTCCCTTTATTATCACCTTTATTATTAGGAGGAAGGAAAGAAGGAAACCATTTCAAGAGAAAACTTAATTTTGTAATTGGGCATTTGGAAGACTATATCCTATAATCTTAGGGTGAAGAGGGCTGACGGTGGTGTCCTGTCTCCATGTCCGGCCCAATGCCATCAGCCATGATTCAGCGAGGAATTTGCTGGGGCACTATTCCCTCTGCAGCATCTCAACCAAGCTTCAGGCTCTGATGGAACCCTCCAGCCTGCTGCCTCCTGATGAGATCCAACTGCTGAAGTCACTCCTTTCACAACCTAAAAGAATCCTCTCTGAACTCTGTCTCCAACTGTCCTTAGCAACAATGCAAACCGTGACACTTTTGAGGCAACCCCATTATCCCTGAGGCAGGGAGTGACAAAGAGGAAGAGTCAGGCCTATGTGACATAAATCCCAGCTTGGCCACTTATTATTAGTCATGGGCTCCCAAGCAAGTCCCTTACATTTGAACCTCAGTTTCCTTGTCTGTAAAAAGGGAAGACTACAGGAGTCTCATCACAGGGCTGCTGTGAGGATCAATTAAGATCACATACAAGGGGGGTACCAGGGTGGCTCAGTGGTTGGGCGTCTGCCTTTGGCTCAGGTTGTGATCCTGGGGTCTTGGCATTAAGTACAACATCAGGCTCCCTGCAGGGAGTCTGCTTCTCCCTCTGCCTCTTTCTCTGTGTCTCTCATGAATAAATAAAATCTTAAAAAAAAAAAAAAAAAAGCTCACATACAAAGAGCTCAACAGAATGCCTGGCCTCCAGTGGGCACTTATCTAAAGGTTAGCATCACTGCTATTCCTATACTCATAGCTAAGGCAAATCTCCCCACTCCTTCAACTGTTTGACATGTGGCCTAATACCAAGATCCTTGAGGGAGTGTGTAGTACAGTGTTGTCTCCACTTCTCCATGGCCAGCCAGTTGTGTCTTTCAGAGTTGACACACATACATCTGCAAAGTCATACCCAACCCCTGGCTGCCACTGCAGTTCTGAATCCTCCTGCACTCATCTAGGTGCTCTAGTTTGGCATGTGGCCATCTCTGTGCAGCCCCTCAGGCCATGTGCCCCACATACCTATCATCTTCTGGAGCAATGGTGAGTTGCCTTTTCCAAAGAGCACACAGAGGTCCAGGATCTTCGGGATGTCAAACAGGAAGTTATTGTAGAGGATTTCTCCAAATGCAGAGGGGGAAATGAAGTGATCCTAAGGAACAGTGCAAGGAGGGAGGATGAGAAACTTTATGAAAGTGTACTCTTGGTAAAGTAATAGCAAACACGCAAGAAACAATGGGAGACTGGCTAATAAATGAAGGTCCATCCACACTATGAACATATCTGAGCCTCATATATTGACCTGGGGCAATAGCTATTCTTCATTTTAATGTAAAAAGAAGCAAAAATACACTATAAAATAGTTGGTTGAACATTCATTCTAGAATATTTATGTATTGGGGTACTTGGCTGGCTCAGTCAGAACATGCAACTCTTGATCTTGGGGTCGTGAGTTCAAGCCCCACATTGGGCATAGAGCTTACTTTAAAAAATAAAAATAACAATAAAATATTTATGAGTAAATTATCATGATGTTTGGAATTGCTATAAAATACTCCAAGAAAGGGGTGCCTGGGTGGCTTAGTCGATTAAGCATCTGACTCTTGATTTTTGGCTCAGGTCATGATCTCAAGGTTGAGATCAAGCCCCCCTTGGGCTCTGTGCTGAGTGTGGAATCTGTGTAAGATTCTTTCTCTCCCTTTCTCTCTTACCTCCCTCCCCCACCCACTTGCACACTTGCTCTCTCTCTCCCTCAAAAAAACAAAAACAAATAAAAAAACTCCAGGAAAAAATAAAATAAAATACTCTAGGGAAAAAAAAGAAAACTCAGGGGAAAAAAGAAAATAGAATTGGCAAAATATTGACAATTGTTGAAACTGAGTAATGGATACATGGGGCTCATTATGCTTTTGTATATATTTGAAAATTTCCATACTACAAAAGTTTTTTAAAAGGCAAGTAGGAAAAAAAAAATAAAATAAAAAATAAAAGGCAAGTAGGGATGCCTGGGTGGCTCAGCAGTTAAGCACCTGCCTTTGGCCCAGGGCATGATCCTGGAGACCCGGGATTGAGTCCCACATCGGGCTCCCTGTATGGGGCCTACTTCTCCCTCTGCCTATGTCTCTGCCTCTCTCTCATGAATAAATAAATAAAATCTTTTAAAAAAATTTAAAAAGCAAGATCCTATTATAAAAATATATTTTTGTATATATTTGAAAAAAAAAGCAAGATCCTATTAAAAAATATATTTTTGTATATATTTGAAAAAAAAAGCAAGATCCTATTATAAAAATATATTTTGGTATATATTTGTATATATTTCAGTTTCCAAACTTCAAAAGCTAAAAAAAAAAGCAAGATCCTATTATAAAAATCAATGTGTGCGCACATACACACACAAACACACACAAGTATATTGAAAGAAAAAAAATTCCCCGAAGGAACATGCACCATAATGGTGGGGTTTTTTTGGAGAAAGGGATATTGTAGGTGACATTCACTATCTACAAAATATTTCTGTACTGTTTGAGTTGTTTAGAGACAGTGTTATTTTTAAAACCTGGAGGGGAAAAAGTAAAGGTTTTTAAAAAGCACATAAAAGTTCCTTTAACAAATCAGAATCACTGTTTTCACCCTCTGACGCATGAAAAAAGGCACAGTCACACGTCAACTGGCAAAGGGCCCTCTGCTCCCATTGATGAAAACACTGGACGTAACACAGACCCAGTGAATTCACAGATAAGGGGAGGGGCGCCCACAGATTTCTTCCTCAAAGGTGGGAATAAAGGCAGAGAAGAAACAAAGAAGAAACACGATACTTTCAGGGCCTTCCTTCTCGGGGGCAGGAAAATCTGGCACAGAGGTGCTGGGTGTTGGGAAGCGCCCTGTGGGATCAAAGGCTTACTTTGGATTCCTTGTGAGTGGACATGCGGAGAAAAGTGAGGAAAACACTTCGATGGAGGCGTTTCTGCATGTCAACAACCTCAGGGGCTGGGGCCACCCACTCATCAAACTTTCGGGGGACATAGCGCAGATAGGAGTCCAGGCACTTCTGCAGGGTTTCATCGAAGATAACCTATGGCAGACAACAGATCAGAGCGAGGATTTGTCACTGAGGCCCAGGGGCTTGTGGGTGGACTGTGCAGGGGCTCACAGCCTACCAGCCCTGGCCTAAGGAAAACACTCCAACCCCAAGGGACTAAGGAGGTATGAATGAGCCGAAGGCTAAACACAAGTTTCTAAAAACGACACGTTGGAAGGCGTTGTGTAAACATCATTAAGATGGTGATACAAGACAGAGCAATCCAAACCACAATTTGCTGTTAAGGATCCAGTGTAAGAAGTAGGGAAAAAAGCATCTCCGGGGGGGGGGGGGGGGGAGAAAAACAATAACAGCAACCAACCAACGGCATGTCATGTGCTTTGTCTTAGTGTTAATTTTGATAGAATGTTACCTGGCACCAGAATTTATCGTGAGGCAAGGCCAGGAGCCAGTCGAGGTCATTGGCTACGAAGGTGGCGCGTTCCAGGTACTCCTCCACTAGGGCGGGAATGTTGTCTTTAGGGGGCGGTTTGTATAACACAAAATACCGGTCTGCCTTCTGCTCGGGGTGCTACGGATCCAAAAACCACGTGTTAACGTGGCAGAGGTTAGTCAGCGAGGGCCCATTTGCCAACCCACAGCAATGACAACACTTGGCTGTTCCAACCGGTGACCCTCCAAGGAGTTTTTAAGCATAAAGAACCAAGTGTCTCTAACAAAGGGGGCTTGGTTGCATCCAGGGAACACCAGGCAGGCATTAAAAACCACGTGTTTTGGAGGATATTTAATGACATGGGGAAAGGTCAAGGGAAGAGAAAGCAGGATATAAACCTATTTAATACAACCAGTTTGGGGATTTTTAAAGAAGTATATATTTTTAACACGGGTTAAAAAAAAAAAAACTGGCAGGTGGCAGTCAACATACCAAAGCTAACAGTGGTTATCTTTGATGGGGGGGTGACTATGACACGAATATATTTTCCAATTAAAAAAATATACATGTATTACTTTTTTTAATTTTTTTTGTATTACTTTTTAAGCTATTTTGTAATAATACAAGGGAGACATGCACATCTTTTCTTTCAAAACTTAAACCCTGCAGAGAAGGTGAGTCTCCTGGGACCACACTCCCAGTCCTCATGTCCTCCCAGGGGTGACCGACCACTCACCATCAGATGAGTGTCCTTGCAGACCTTTTCTAGGTTTTTACAGGCAAATATATACCCATAGAAGGTATTTTAGATCTGTTTTAATCTTTCTTACATAAATAGTACCGTACTATATGTATGTATCATGTTGTTTCCTTCTTAGAATCAGAAAAAAAAAACACCTTGGTAACTTTTTTCTTTTAAAGAAAAGATACTAATCAAATAATTGCAGGTCTCAGCTTAGAATCACAAGTTCTCTCTCCCAACCTTTACCTTGTTATAAACAAACCTTACTTTGTTTACCATAAAGAAGAGATGAGCTATTTTCCTCTGACTACATAAGGGCTGCTTTCTCCAGGGGATGTGGTAATAGGAGGAAGGCCCGGCAACATCTCGGTGGTTATCAACCACAATCCATCCACTTCCAGGTCTGTCAGTCCAGGGGGACAGGGAAAATCATGACTGATTGATCAGTTCCCTCGAGGACCCTCTATGCTTCCCTATTGCCTGGTGCAAGTTTTCAGACTGTGGAGTCTTTGAGTCCTGCAAGGATTCCTCGGGGGCCCCTATCATTTGGGTGATATGGGACCCCTCTCATATCCTTTGGGACCCCTCCCATGGATACCAGAATTTATACAGTGGGCTTCCAGGTACAAACTTTTTGAAAAAGGGAATCCCGCTGGCTGAAACAAGTTCAAAACTTCTCTTTAGGATCTAAATTCGTCTCCTTGGTTTCTGAGCTCCTCCCTTCCTCTATCTGTTGACACCTCATCTCTTAGGTCACTTCCCAAGCAGGGCTACTCATCGCCTCCTACTCCTCTGACAGACAGACAGACACAGACACCCTGAGATTCTACCTTCCTTGCATTCCTACAAACATTTACCGGCACTATTGTGCCAGGTACGGTGAAGCAGGTGAAGAAAACATCTGCATGTTCACGAGTCTATGCTCCAGAGGTGGAGATGCACATCTAAGCCATCAAGTGAGCACAAAACAGAGGAAGGGACAGCTCAAACCTGGCAGAGGGACCAAGAGAGTACAAAAGGTGATTATCTGCACATGGAGGACATCTAAGCTGGGCCTTGGAAAATGAGAAGGATTTTCTTTACGGAAAAAATGGTGTTTTATGGAGGCATAAAAATGGGCTACGAGAAACAAAGGGCCCAGATTGCACTGGGTGGTGGGAAAAAGATGTAGAGGAAGAGAACGGAATGGAATGGTGATGGATAAAGGCCACCTCTAACAAGGACCTGTCCTGGCCTGCTGCTGACTAGGTATGTCCCACAGCCTCTTTCTTTTTTATCTTCAATTTTTCAAAAGGGAAGTAATGTTCTCCCCATTTTACAGAGGAGGAAACAAAGAATCAGTAAGCTTCAGGAATTTTACTAAGGTCACAGGGCTAAGGAGGCAACTGAGGCAGGATCTGAACCAAAGCTCAGCCTGCAGACCTGATGAATGACCTACAGTCCTCACATGCTATCCTGGTCTTGCTGCTTAGCCTTCTGATCCCAGTTCTGACCTCACCTCCTCCAGGAAGTCTCCCCAACTCCCACCCCTGACTAGGTTAGGGGTTCACCTGGACTCTTCCAACACCTGCACTCTGTGCTTCCCTAACCATAGCGCCTGTTGAACTGCATTAAAAGTACTTTCAGATCCGTGGCTGCTGCACATGGGGAGAAAAGAAAGGATGGATCACAGATGGGCCCAAGGAAACTTTTTGGGATATGACCGAAATGTTCATTATCTTGATTATGACGATTGGGTGCATACTAATGTCAACACCAACCCAACTGTATACTTTCAGTATGTGCAGTTTATTATCTTTCAATCATGCCCCAGTAAAGTTATATAAAAAGGAAGGGCCTGCCTTCTCTGTCTCCCCTACTAGTTTGTAGGTCTCCGGAAGCAGTCTGGGCCTTGCTCGCCACAGCATTCCCAGTCCCTAGAACAGTGTCTGGCCTCAAGCAGACTCTCTGTATACATTTGCTGGCTAGACAAAGCATCAATGTGGATAATGAAGAACCAAGTTCTTTGAAGGGCCTTCAATGCCAAACTCAAGAGTGGGGACTTTATTCTGCAGGTAACAGGGACCATGGGAGATTTCAGGGCAGGGGGTAGCAGGCCCCAACTGTATCTTCTACCCGCCGAGCCTGGCTCAGGTCCCACTTGCTCTGTGAAGCTTCCTGGACAGTCTCTGCCCACCAAACTCTGTTCTGATTTTGATAAGAAACCATTTTGCACTGTTTTCCACATGTTCCACTTTTATGAGTCTTGTCTTCCTCAAGAGCTCTTTCACTCATTCTTGCCCAAGGCTTTCTTTCTTTTGTACTTTCAATAGCACGAAGTGTGTACTGTGTACAGTTAGCTACTCGATAAACATTAGCTCCACCTATCACCCTGCAAAGGCAGAGTGGTGGCTGTCCCTCGGCTAAAGATCTCCCTGTCCTAAGTTGGGACTAAAGAGACAAATATACAACGGGTACAAATCTCAACAAGACCACTCCTTCATCAGGCAGCTATCTCCCTCCACTCATTCTCTTCCCACCCTACTCCCCATTCGAACCTTCTGCTACTGTCACTGCTGTCATCATCATCATTACTGAGCGCTTACTATGTTCTAATAACATGGCTAAATATGTATGAAATTTAACACAAAGCTTGTGCTCTTTAACTTAATGCTACTGCTTCCACCCCAGTGACTGGTGGTTGGGGGAGGAGTTGGGCTCTCTCAAGACTCCAGGATAATATACTTGGGTCCTCCTGCCAGGTTCATCCTTCTCCCATTGCTCTGCAAGGCTAGTGTTTATTCTCCCTTCAAAACCCAGTTTAGGATCCTCCTCCTTCAGGAAGGCTTCCCTAGCTGCACATACCCTCCCACTACCCCCAAGCTCTCCCTGCCCCATAAACCTCTTCAGTTTGGATCAGTGGCTTGGGCTCTGCAGTCATGTAACCCCTTCTATCACAACCCTATCTGTAGAGAAATGACTGGTCTGCTTTTTTTTTTTTTTTTAAGATTTTATTTATTCATTCATGATAGACAGAAAGGGAGAGAGAGGCAGAGACACAGGCAGAGGGAGAAGCAGGCTCCATGCCGGGAGCCTGATGCGGGATTTGATTCCGGGACTCCAGGATTGCGCCCTGGGCCAAAGGCAGGCGCTAAACCGCTGAGCTACCCAGGGATCCCCTGGTCTGCTTTTCTTAGTCCACAGACCTCTGAAGGCCAGGAACCATGTCTTTTTTTCTCTGTAGTTCCAGTGTCTGGCACAAGGCCTGGCTGAAGTCCTTGACTCATTTACTGAATATTCTGAAAGAAATGCAGCTAGCACTAGGAAATGAGAATGAAGGGAAGGGACAAGGTTCCTGTCCTCATGGAGCCCACAGCCTAGCAACCCAGATATTAAATACATGGGGAAAGGAGTGCCTGGGTGGCTCAGATGGTTAAACGTCTGCCTTTGGCTCAGGTCATGATCTCCAGGTCCCGGGATCAAGCCAAATGTTGGGCTCTCTGCTCAGCGGTGAGTCTGCCTCTCCCTCTTCCTCTGCCACTCCCCCTGCTGTGTACTCTCTCTCTCAAATGAATTTTAAAATAAATAAATAGGGACACCTGGGTGGCTCAGTGGTTGAGCATCTGTCTGCCTTTGGCTCAGGGCGTGGTCCTGAAGTCCCTGGATTGAGTTCCATATTGGGTTCCCCTCGAGGAGCTTGGTTCTCCCTCTGCCTTTGTCTCGGGCTCTCTCTGTGTCTCTCATGAATAAATAAATAAAATCTTAAATAAATAAATAAACAAACAAATGGGGAAGGACTGAGGTAGAAAATCAGAGTCAACCACTTAAGGAGGTCAGTCTCCACCAGCCCAACAGAACTTTCTGCGTTAATGGAACTCTTCTATATCTTTGCTGCCAAATACAGTAGGCACTCACCACATGGGTTGTTTTAATTTAAATGAACTGAAATTAAATAAAAAATGCAGTTCCTTAAACTATCTGCATTTCAAGTGTGCAATCCCTACATGTGGTGAATGACTATGGTGAATGACTACTACGGTGGGTGGCTACCACATTGGGCAGAACAGATAAAGATTTTCTGATAAATACCCTCCTCACATAAAAAGGTTATTAAAACAAAACAAAACAAAACAAAATGCCACAGGGTTTATAGCAATTAAGGGTATGAGACCTAGGGTCAGTCTAGCTAGGTTCACATCCTGGCTCCCCTAATTTCCTAGTTCTGTGACCTTTAACTTCCAGTTTTCTCATCTGTAAAATGGGGACAATCAAAATACCTACTCACAGGGCTTAACATGAGATAATCCAGGTGATGTGTTTAGAAAGGTTTGGCCCAGAGCAAGTGCTCTATAAACGTTAAGTCCTATTATCAGAGAATAGTTAGGAAGTAATAAGAAGCCATCCAGAGAGCAGGAAATAAAACACCAAGCTCTTGTTTCCCACGACTCTACTCAAGCCCCCCTAGAAAATACTTCCTCCCACCCTGTCAAGTAAGCTCATATTCTTGGGAAAACAGTAAGGGCGTGTGGGGACTCCAGTCCCCACGTCTGTCTCCTTCGGCAGCCTGGCACCTCTCCACACGCCTAATCTCACTCTGCAGCTGGTAATCGGCACGCTCATGGCCTCCTTATTTTTCAGTCTCCCAAGCCCTGCAGAGTTGGTATGTGGCAGGTGGCGCTTTTTAGCCCATGATGATAAAAGACAACCTGACCTCTGAAACTGGTGTTCCCCCTGAAGTGTGGATAGCAGGTGAGATAGCTCTGAAAAAGGCCTACCTGAAACCTGAACACTTCCCGCAGGGTCAAATCCCCAAGCCCAGCTTTGGACTGGATCCTTTTCTAGGCCAGCTCGAGTTGAGTCACAACCACCATCAGACTCTTAATTCAAAATGAAATGCTCTGGGGGGAAGGTGTGGAGTGGCAACATGGAAAGTACTACTCAAATTCAGGCTGCCGCTCAGAAAGGAAACTTCTGCACTGGGCCTGGAAGGATCTGGTAGTGTCCTTGCTACTGAATTACTGACTGTGGCCCTCGGGTCATTCTTGGAACAGATAGAGGAGGAATGCGCTTTTCACTTCTGAAGTTGCAAGAGGTAACATCAGGCTGAGCAGCCTCAAGGTAACGGGCTCACCAGCGCTGGTGAAGTCCTCAGTTTTCCTGTCTTCAGGTCCGTGTGGGTGATCTGGAGTTGGTCCAAGGGCAGAGCTGGCATTGTGCTGTGTGACCCTCCTGAAAGGAATATGGATGGGAAGAAGAGAGCAGACACATAGGCTCCTGGTGGCAGGGGCCTGCTCTGGAACTGATCCCAGAGCCAGGAGAGAAGCTTCACACTCTGGCCTCAGAAGGCTCCTGATGAACCTCGAAGGCCTGGTTCTTGTACCCACTAATCCACACTGAGGTGACTTTTCTGCCTCGAGCAAAAGCTCTCAGCTGAGGAAGGAAAACACTCCCCAGGTGACTCCTGATATATTCCAACCCTCTCTAAAGGACTGGCTAAAAGTACCTAGATAATCTTTATTATGTGTCCAGCTCTGTGCCCCGCTTGGCATGTAAGCTCTGTGAAGACAGTGCCTGGGCTATCCTCTTGCTGTCTTTTCCATGACCAGCACAGGCCTGGTAACAGAGTTGGCCTCATCAACTGTTTGATGACTGACTGAATATAAGGACTTTTCTTATAATTCTAAGCAGATCTGCAGTCTTTTGAGGAATGGAAGGATGGGCCTTTCCTCACAGAGGGTTTAAAAAAATTTTTTTAAGATTTTACTTATTTATTCATTATAGACACAGAAAGAGAGGCAGAGACACAGAGGGAGAAGCAGGCTCCATGCACGGAGCCTGATGCAGGACTTGATCCCATGACTCGGGGATCATGCCCTGACCCAAAGGCAGATGCTCAACCACTGAGCCACCCAGGCATCCCAAGGGGTTTTAAAATTTTACAACTTCTCTAGGCTTCAGGGAACAAGGATGTAGATGAATAGAAGGACCAGAGAGGATGACAGAATTCACAGGAAGCTGCCAGTGTGAGCTCTTGTCTTTTTTCCTTTTAAAGATTTTATTTATTTAGTCATGAGAGACACACAGAGAGAGGCAGAGACCTAAGCAGAGGGAGAAGCAGGCCCCCTGTGGCGAATCCCATGCGGGACTCGATCCCAGGACCCCGGGATCACAACCTGAACCAAAGGCAGATGGTTCAACCACTGAGCCACTCAGGCGCCCTGAGTGTGAGCTCTTTTCAGTAGAGGCCCAAACCCACCTCAGAGTCAGTGAGTGGCAGACACCACATCTCTTGTCCTCTCCCATCCAGCATTCTTTCCATAACTCTACTCGGCCTGCCCCACAGAAGGGATGTGCATATTGGCTGAATCATGGAATGGAAGTGAATTAGGCCCCTTAGAAGACATGCCATATAAGGCCAGCCAGTCTCCATGACAACATAAAGATATACTGAGGCTGGGATGATGACACCATCCATCACCTCCTGAGAACCTCACAGATGAGCTGAAGGGCACGGTCAGCCATGAGTTACAGGATATCTCAGATATCAGGCCAGGACCTGGTGTTATTTAGACACAGAGTGATAATACAGGGTCGCCCCACAGGAGTTTCCAGCCCAAATATTACAATGATAATGGCAGTAACAGCGACATGCTTATCGTGCGCTGGTGCTTTCCCCAGGGCTTTTCTCAGCATTAACTCACTTTGCGTATACTAATACTTAGGACAACTCAATGGTCAGGTCTATTTTCATCTTCATTTTATCAATGAGGAAATAGAGATTCAGAAGAAAAGAAACTAGCCCTAGAACTCAGTTAGTAGTTGGTGAAGCTGGGGGTCTCTTAACCATTCGCTGTACTGAGCCTAGTGTAGCTGAGCTTGCAGGGGGGTGTTGTCAGGAAAGGATTTCTGGGGAGCCAAAATGATCAGGAGAGTCTGAATTGAGTCTTGATAGTGGAGATTAGTCACAAAGGAGAGTGCCCCAGGCAGAGGAAACAGTAGGAACAAAGGTAAGGAGGTGGGAACATCTTGGTACTCAAAGAACCTTAGTTCATGGGCTGTTTTAAAGACCGTGAAGAGGGACCTCTGGGTGGCTCAGTCAGCTAAGCGGCTGCCTTTGGCCCACGTCAGGATCCCAGGGTCCTAGGATCCAGCCCTGTGTCAAGCTCCTTGCTTAGCGGGGAGTCTGCTTCTCCCTCTCCCTCTGCCTGCAGCTCCTGCTTGTGTGCTCTCTTTCTCTCTCTCTAATAAATAAAATATTAAAAAAAAAAGACTGTGAAGATATCCATTCTAAAAGGATGTAAAAGAGGACTATTCTGTTTAGTCCTCAAGGCCTGTTCCAGCTCTAGGATCTCAGTGGGTCTATGGGGTCCCTGCACACGTGAGTGTGGTGTGGTGTGGTGGCCTCAAAAAAATCATAAGGTGTGAAGTAATGTAAGGGGCTTGGATGAGCTTTCACTTTTCAGCTTTGCAAAATGTAGATAATGTACACATGTTGCACAGACATTATTTCTCATCAAGTTACTATCTTGCAAGCCTCTCACAACAACCAGTTACAGACAACAAGGATTATTATGCTCTGATGTCCAAAGAAGGGCTCTGATTTGCTCAAGGCAGATACATTAGTGAACAAGTTGAAACTGAAGCCCAGCCCTTTTGCCTTGGCACCGGGAACTCTTGTGCTGGAAAGACTAAAAATACTTCCTTCCTAACCCCCCAGTGATGCTGGGACGGCAGCTGGAAACACCAGGAGTCTGCTCGCCAGTCCAGAAATCTAAATGACTCACAGGCTCGGTTCTTTCCATGTTCACCTTTCAAAGATGGTCGTGGGAGTATCCAATGTAGGGATTGAGATTAGGGAAAGAGCCATAGTAGGTGGTGGCTCTTCATCCTTTAACTTTTAGGCCCTAGAGGCCAGGCCTAGACAGGTAGAGACAGCACTTGATTTCAGAAGAAATCATTTCCTACAAGCCAGTGCCTATAAAAGCAGTTCAGACTCAGGCTGGTGTGGTTAAAAGAGAGCTTTATAGTTCTGCAGCCTGGGTTCATTTCCTGGCTCCACCTTTTCCTACCCATGTTTGAGACCTGGAGATAGTTCCTTAGACTCTCTAAGCCTTGATTTCCTCATCTGTAAAACTGGGTTTGAGAAGTAACCAATGGTAAATGTTCAACACAGTAGCTGGCACGTAACAAGCACTCAATAAAGTTTACTTGTGATTACAAGTCCCAGCCATAGGCAGACCACTTTGGATTTCATTTACTCAGCAAAAGCTGACTGAATACATTCTGGGTCCTGGGCATGTAAATGACTATGATTCAGTGTAATCAAAGCTGGAACAAGAAATTTCCAAAACAAGCACAACAGAGAAAGGGAGGATGTCACCAAGAAGGTGACCCATAACCTGGTTGTTGAAGGATGGGAAGAAAAGATGGAGGCGGGGGAGGCATTTCAAGCAAAGAGCAAGTGTGAACACAGGCTCAGAACCAGTGGCTTTAAAGGAAGGGGCATTTGATATGGCTGAAAATACAAGGTCAGGAAGGGGATGATCGAAGTAGAGAGGTGAGGTTGAATAAAAAGATAAAGACATTTTAAAAGGAGCCTCCATTGTGATGCTAAAGATGTTGGCCTTTCATCTAAAGGCAGTGAGGGAGGAGTCATTTAAGTAGAGAAGAGATACAATAAGAGAGAAAAGACAGTAAGTTGGTGGCAGAGACTGTCTATGAACCCCTAAAGAGAAAAGACCATGTTAATAGTTTCACTTATCCATTCAAAAAGTTTTTGAGCACCTATTATGTGCCAGGCACTGAAGCTGGAGAATACCAAAGCAGGCAAAGAACAAACTTGGTCTTGCCCTTCACGAATTTACAGTCTTTATGGGAAAGATAAATATGAATCAAATAGCCATAAAAACTAGTAAAATATCATGATGTAAGCTATGCAGGTCAGGCCCATCAGGCTATGACTGCATGTAACAGACAGAACGGACTAGAGGGAGGGAGTGTGTCAAGGAAGATCCCAGTTTTCATCTAAAGTATGGGTAGAAATTAACTAGGCAAAGATGAGACTTTAAATTCCAAAAGGAAAAGGATATTACTGGTGATGACATCTGTGCCCACCACTACATCCTTCACACCAAGCAGGGCAACAGAAGCCAAAACTTAGAAAAGAGCTTTCTTTTAGAAGGTGAGCTTGATGCAAGCACTAATTATGGTTAAGGCCTGCGCTACTGCTGCCTCGATTTCTCTGATTGTCATCACCCTTCTCTGGTCTCAATTCAATATTCCTTTCCTCAGAGAACTTCCCAGACCACCCAATCTAAGGTATTCACTCTGCAGTTACTGTCTATCTTTGATTATCTTGTGCCTTAGTTTGTCGTTGACTGTCTCCTCCCACTGGACTGGATGCTCCATGAGGGAGGGTGCCTTGTCTGTCTTGCTGTTAGTCTCCCCAGTGCCTAAACCTGTTCCTAACACGCAGGAGGTGATGGACATGTATTTGTTGAATGAATGAATGAACTGTAAAGAAACTGAAACCTGGAGTGAGGATAGAGGGCTGTGACTCATCCAAGGTTACTCTGGGGCTAAGCCTCGAACCCATGACTCCACGCTCTAGAGGCCTGGCCTCAGGGGCGACTCATGGCCCCTCCGGTAACGTCAGTCTCGGCCCCGCCAGGCAGGCAGTGAGGCCCGTGGCAGCCTGAGGCATGGCCACGTCTCGTCCCAGGCCCGATGCCCCCTATTCGGCAGGGCCCAGCCACGCACTCACCTCGGCGGCTCCACTACCGGCTCTGCCGCCGCCACCACCGCCGCTGCCGTCGCCGCCGCTGCCGCTGTCCACGGTGACAGCTCCCAGTGGGCCGGCACTTCCGGGGTCAAACGGCGATTCCGCAGGCGCAGACAGGAAGCTTCGGCCCGGCCCCGCCCCCCGTGCGAACTGCCGCCGGGAAGCTGGGCCCTTGGCCACGCCTCTAGGCTTAAGACTCCGCCCCCACAAGAAATAGGCCGATTGTGACCACGCCCCCTGCTCCCTCCAGTCTCCCAAGAGATTCCACCTCTTGGAAAAATCCAAGTATTCTTGTACCTGGTCTCTCAGGGTCTCAGGCTTCCATCTCTTTCCTAACCTTCTCAATCATCCTTTTACACATTTAATCCAAAAGAGTAGTTTTAACAAATCAAAAGCATGAACGTGATGTTGAGCAAAAGAAAGCAAAGTAGAACAGACTACAGTTTTGCTTATAGGAGGTTCTGGAACTGGCGAAACTTGTGAGTGGTGATAGGGTTAGAAGGGTGGTCCCCTGGGGCTGGTGACTGGAAGGGGCCGCAAGTGAGACTGGGACATTCCATGTCTTTATCTTGCGGTAGCTACATAGATGTGTTCAATTTGCAAAAGTCATCAAATTGTACACTTATGGGTTGAGCACATTTCTCTGTATATGCAATACAAAAAGGTTCTGTTTTGTTTTTTCTTTTTTTTTTTTTTTTATGATAGTCACACACAGAGAGAGAGAGAGGCAGAGACATAGGCAGAGGGAGAAGCAGGCTCCATGCACCGGGAGCCCAACGTGGGATTTGATCCCGGGTCTCCAGGATCACGCCCTGGGCCAAAGGCAGGCGCTAAACCGCTGCGCCACCCAGGGATCCCTCTTTTTTTTGTGTGTTTTTTTTGTTTTGTTTTTTTTCTTTTAAATCAAGAAGGCTGTGGTATAGATATCTTAAAAGCAAAATGCAAATTTTCCAGAGAATGTCTTAGGTGGCATAGGGCTGGTATTCCCAATCTGGCTGTGCATCAGAATCATCACAGAGGGCAGTCTGGGTGGCTCAGGGGTTTGGTGCCGCCTTCAGCCCCAGGGTGTGATCCTGGAGACCCTGGGTAGAGTCCCATATTGGGCTCCCTGCATGTAGCCTGCTTCTCCCTCTGTCTCTGTCTCTGCCTCTCTCTCTCGGTCTCTCATGAATAAATAAATAAAATCTTAAAAAAAAAAAAAGAATCACCACAGAAAGCTACTTAAAAGTACACAACCCTGGTTTTAGCACAATGCCTGGCACATAATAAGATTAAAAAATCACCACCACTACTACCAGGATGCCTGGGTGGCTCAGTTGGTTAAGCCTCTGCCTTCAGCTCAGGTCATGATCTCAGGCCACTGTCAGGCAACCTGATCAGCAGGGAGTCTGCTTCTCCCTCTCCCTCAGCTCCTCCCCCAACTCATGTGGGTGTACAGACATGTTCTCTCTCAAATAAATAAATAAATAAATAAATAAATAAATAAATAAATATTTAAAAAGAAATAGAATTACAAAGGGTGGGGCACCTGCGTGATGCAGTCAGTTAAGCATCCAACTCTTACTTTTTGGCTCAAGTCATGATCTCAGCGTTGAGACTGAGTGTTATATATGGCTTCACACTCAGTCCAGAATCTGTGTGTGTCTCTCTCTGCCGCCACCCTCTAAAATTAAAAATGATAATAATTATTAAAGGTGCCTGCCTAGCTCAGTTGATAGAGCATGTGACTCTTGATCTTGGGGTCTTAAGTTTGAGGCCCATCTTGGGTGTAGAGATTACTTAAAAATAAGATCTTCAAAAAAAAAAAGAATTATAAGAGATAGAAATTATTGTTATACCATTTTATAGAGAGGCTTAGAGACCAAGCCAGTGTCACAAACTTGTAAGTTGATGGACTAGGAATTTGAACCCAGCTTTGTCTAGCTCCAGAGCTTGCCCTCTTAACCTCCTGACCAAAGGCTTACCCAAGTTCCATTAAACAAGATTGGGAATCTCGAGTCGCCAGATGCTGCAGGCTGTGTCAAAACAGTGGGTGCTTCCTTTAACTGCTGTCATTTTTCAGGCAAAGCTGATCATCTACTGATATAAAAGTGTCGCCAACCTGTCCCCAGGAACTCAGGAAATTTCTAGTAGAAGCTTCTGCTTCACTGTCAATCATACCTTTTCAGAACTAAACTCCTGGCAGCTTCTGACTAGCTGTCAACCTTAACTTTTTAGAAACAAACAAAACAAACAAACAAACAAAAAAACTAACTGCCAGAGTGGAAAAAGAAACATTTGAGGAAGATCCCCACAGAGATGAATCAGAAAGTGCCAGAAGTGACCAACAATTATCTCTGCCTCATTAAAAATTTTTTTTAAGATTTTATTTATTTATTCATGAGAGACACAGAAAGAGAGAGAGGCAGAGATATAGGCAGAGGGAGAAGCAGGCTCCATGCAGGGAGCCACACATGAGACTCAGTCCCAGGACTCCAAGATCGCTGCCCTGAGCCAATGGCAGATGCTGAGCCACCCAGGCGTCCCTATCTCAGCCTCAATGTAATGTTGAAATCCCTTTTGAATATTCAACCCAAACCTTTATTAAAGGGCCCGTTTCCCTTATTTGGAGAGCCAGGGCTTTGGAAGTTATTCCTCATAATCTCCTTATTTGTACAAATAAAAATGACTCTAAAGATGACGCGTATGGCAACTCCAACTCCACCTGATGTAGTCTCTGTCTATAACTCACCAAAGAGCAGCCCCACTTTGCTCTGGTAACAGAAGGGGCAGAGAAGATGCCAGAAACTACACGTTTTTTCCCTTTGGCATCACACACATTGGGCACCCAGGAAGTATAATATGTATCTTGGTGATTGGTTGGAAGGAAATCATGAGTAGCAGCCTTTGGCACAGAGAAAACTTAAAATAAGACTTCTGGCAAAAATGTATGCATGGGTTTTATCTTTCCGCATGGGTATTAATATCACTAAGGTTTTGGAGCTAAATAGCAGAACTATAAAAAGACCAATAGTCAATAAGACAACTAATTTCTCCAAATGTGTTTCAGTTTCCTCAACTGTCAAAAGGGGTCATTAATACCCACTTCATGCTCATTAGGAGGTTTAATGAGATAACATAGACAGTGCCAGGCATATGATAGGTGCTCAAGAAATTTATTGGAGAGGAAGGGAGACTCCATATCATTTGGAGTATTAACTCTTGTATTTCCTTTATCTCTGTTTTCTCTTCTTTGCCAGAAGAGATTAATAAGGAATGTTAACTTCCAAAGGAGATATCTTTGTCTCGGCTAACATATGTCCAATGGAAATTAAGTTTAAAAGTCATTTTAACAGAATAAGCCTTAAGACATACATTAGTCACACATTATGGAGGAATTTGGGTGCTTCAATTCTCTAGATTAAAAGAAAAACAACAGGGATCCCTGGGTGGCGCAGCGGTTTGGCGCCTGCCTTTGGCCCAGGGCGCGATCCTGGAGACCCGGGATCGAGTCCCACGTCGGGCTCCCGGTGCGTGGAGCCTGCTTCTCTCTCTGCCCCCCTCTCTCTCTCTGTGACTGTCATAAATAAATAAAAAAATTAAAAAAAAAAAGAAAAACAACAAATAGCTTACTTTAAGAGGAAATATTTGGGTTGACAGTGAAGGTGAGTGTCTGTGGTGCCTGTAACCAATCAAGTCTTGGGATAACTTGGAAGAAGAGTAGTTGGTGCTAGAAAATCGGCATGAGAATATCTGGGTGGGAATTCCCTGGCCCAGATGCTCTGAGTCACCTAAAATGAATTAGTATCATCTTAGTGCTTCATTCTTCCAGCAGGGATGTGTCCATGGAGAACCCCCTGTTGGGTTCGTGGCTGTGTGGCCCACTCAAAGTTCATTTCTTCTGTTCACCTTCCCACTAACAACAACTTGATTACTCTTCAGGAGTTAACAGTCCCCATGGAGTAGGACTGGTTCCTTACCCAGAGTTGAGGGGGGTAAGCAATTGTGTTAGTTATGTCCTGCTGTGTAACAAATCACCCCAAAACTCAGTGGCTTAAGGCAATAATAATCATGAGATGCCTGGTTGGCTCAGTCAGAAGAGCACAGAACCTTTGATCTCAGGTCTTGAGTTTGAGCCCCACATTGAGTATGGGGATTACTTTCTAAAGAAAGGAAATTAAGAAAACACGTCTATTTGCCATAGCATCAAAAAGAATAAAAATACTGGGGTGCCTGGGTGGTGCAGTTGGTTAAGCATCCAACTCTTGATTTTAGCTCAGGTCATGTTCTCAGGGTTGTGAGATCCAGCCCTGCACGAGGCTGGGCATGGAGCCTGCTTAAGATTTTCTCCTTAGGGCATCTGAATGGCACAATCAGTTAAGTGTCTGACTCTTGATTTCAGCCCAGGTCACGATCTCAGGGTCCTGGGATCAAGCCCACTATTGGGCTTTATGCTCAGCAGGGAATCTGCTTAAGATTCTCTCTTCCTCTCCTTCTGCCCCTCTCCCCGCTCTTGTGCACCCTCTCTTGCACTCTCTCTCAAATAAATACATAGATAGATAAATAAATAAATACATAAATAAAAAAATCAGTCTTTTGGGGTTTGTTGGTCAACAACACCTATATGACCTAGCCTAGGAAGTCACAAGGCATCACTTCAGCTGTATTTCTATTGGTCACATAGCCCAGCTTTGGTTTAGTGTAGGAGGGGACTTTATAAGGGCTTGACTATCTGAAGGCAAGATCACTGGTGGCTGTTTCAAAAGCTGGCCACCACATCTACCTAAGATGAGCCTGGCCAATTGGCATTTTCCAAACCCACAGACACAGTGATTTGGTTCAAGAATGGATACATGATCCATACCTATACAACAATCCCTAATTCTGGGATCTTTATTAGAGTCAAAGTGATAGAAAACTCTCTTTCTGATGAGATTGATAGCAGTAAGAAAGAACTAAGCCTAGAGCTGCCAGAGGCCATTACCTGAAACTACAAAGGAAGCAGAACTGGGAAAAGAAATGGTAAGCCGACAGGGGGAGGGCATGAAAGAGCCTGATGATATCATTTGATCCTTGAATCCAAGTGCACCTGAATCCAGATACCC